TTTCATTTAAGTTGAACTAAAAGATACAATTTTTTTTTTAAGTCTTACCTGTATGTCTCCTTTTGTTACGTTATCGTTTTCACTCTGGAATTTTATACAGATTTTATGGAAAGGGGTGTAATTTAAATTGAGAGGAAGTAGTATAAGAGGTATTTATAGGATAATGTTTGACTGTTGCTATGGCCGCCATCTTGACTCAAGGCAGATGCCGCTGTTAAATTAAAAGTGATCGCCAGACATTAGGCACCAGTTTTGGTAAAGAGTTAGGTAGTCTGATGTAGCTGCTATTTGTAGCTTCGAGCTGGAGCCAGTTAAAATTTTTCTATTTTCTAGCTAGTAGCTGTATGTCAAGGATAATTAAATTTTATGTTTGCATTATTTTAACTCACAAGTAGTGAGAAAATGATGTTGAGTTGAATTCTTCATTCTGTCTCTTTATGTTCGAAAATTTTGATTTGATACATAACATTTTGAGTACGCCCACAGTCAGGGGCGATAACTTAATATCATAGTAAAGGTGACGTCTGAGGTTGAGTGATTGGCAGAGGTACTTAATTAGCCAGAAAAAGCCTTAAGATCATTATAAGGTGTTTTATTCATGCCAAAAGTCTGCTGAGCCCTGCACGGCTATGTTATGTATTTGTGAGATTTTTATGCATTTTTTTTACATGTTTTAGGTTAATTGCTGAAGAACCCTTCACGGCGTATTTATTTATGACTTTTACTTCCTCCCCTCCAAATTATCCGCCCCTTATTATTGCTCAGTTTAATATAGTATTAAGCGTACAACTTTGCCATCTTCTAAAAGGCACCTTCATGTAATATTTCCTGACACTATGAAAGATTCAGACCTGTGTACTTTTAAGTTGTTGAAGAATCTTAAGAACTGGTAAGCGAATAATCGCTTGAGTTCGTAAGACAGAAAATAAAACTTGGGTTAAATACCTTTTATTATTCCAAATTAATTTCACAGAACTCCTTCTTGGAGATTTAAAATAAAGCCCCCACTCGGGCTTGAACTCAGGAACTAAGAAATTAACTAATCTTAACTAAAAAGATATAGCCGAAGCTATGAAGATTCTAACAGAGTTGGCCCATTAACGCTAATTAACGACGAAGCTATCAAGGGCCTAAAGTACGGTTGAGCGTAGTAATAGCTTAAGAGAGAGTTGCCTAAAAAGGCGAATGCGCGCTAGTCAGAATCACTGGTTTTCTCTAACGAAGTCAGTAGAACTTCAGAGTTAAATACTTCCCCTCATTTGCATTCAAATGCGATTCTGAAACTACGTTCTGGCCGGAAGTTTGAAATTCAGAAAAGATACGACAGTAACTTTAACTCAAAATTTAACTGTTAGATAAATTAACATAATCCTTACAACTAAACGAATTTATTTTATCTTACAATTTGAAAGCAATATGAGTTTTCTTATCATTAATGTCAGTTGCAGTATGAAGCGTATATGTAGAACATTTTTCTCTTTCTTTAATACTGCATCAAAAAACACCCGTCTCTTTATGTTCTAAAATTATGGTTTGATATAGTTGAATTGCAAGAATTTTTTATGGATATGAATATATTTCAAGAATTTTTAATTGATTATGAAATTCTGTCCTTTACTTCGTAATAGTTCCTACCAAACTTGTTATAGTTTATAGATGTTGAGCTAGATAAGTTGATGTGAAAAAGTTGTTAACAGCGATATTTATTCCATTCTTTACGAATGGCTCCTCAATCGTATAACAGTATGATTTGATAGTTCTCTGTTGCAGAAATCGTTTTTCCTATTTACTTTGTTATACCAATGAATGAGCGAGTGGTTAAGACCGCTGAATACTAAGAGTTCCACCTGAGCTCGATCCCAGACGAATGAAATAGCTGAATGGATTTCGGGGTTTTACACATGCGTAACGTAAATACGATCCAGTTTGCCTTAGAAATTTCTCCACGAATGATTGCCTGCCCTTGTGTTTTTTGCCATGTTAAGATAACCTACGTTTGTACTTAGCACTGAACAAGTACATCGTTTTCAGGTCTATACTAAGCCAAAACGTTCGGCCATAGTTATCCGGTCTTGAAGGTATAAATATGCGTAAAATTGTAGCATAGTGTACTTAGAAGTAACTACGTTTTTATCTGGTTTGAAACATGGAAAGCAATTTTTAAAGAGATTGTATAATTCAACGTGAAAACAAATATATCTGATGTCAAGAGAAATGAAAATGTTAATATCAGATCAAGCCACAAAAAACTCTTTTCAGAAAACCCATTGCCTCACTACAGAAAATTAGATTCTGGTAATTAGACTACAATGAAAAAGATAAGCTTAAGTCCTTTACCTTCAACAAAGCCTCGTACACATAATATTCTTTATAAATGTATAAAGTTCTTTCAAAAGGATGCACGATTGATTATTTTTTCAAGACCTGACTTAGTTGAGCATTTTCTGCACACTTTTATGTACCTAAAATTTTATTGTCTAGGCACAAAAGCCACTCAATGAATGCATTATTCTAAAATTAAATGGATTAAATACAACAAACGTTTCCAAGTGCCTTTTAATTTCAAGGGAATGATAAAGCTAATTATGTATTTAGTTGTAGTGTTAAATTGTACTATGTTGTAATAAATCTTAAGATTTATCGTCTGCTGAATTTTGATCATCTAAAATTCTTTCTTAAAGATTGAACTGATAAAGAATGTTTGGGCTATATTGTAAAATATTACAGTGAAGCTATCTTGGAATGTACTATAGGATAATTTTCTATTGCATATTAATTAGCTCAGTCTCGAATATCTTTTAATTCATAGCTCTGCATTGAAATAAGATTTAAAGTTTCTTTTCCTCTTTCACCCAGACAAACTACCGTCTGCCACTCTATTTATAACATGGAGAGGTGAGTCAGCAGCGCATAATAAAAATAGTTGTTTTCGAGTCCGATGACGGATTCTCCTTCTGTAATCGCTAGTAAGTTCATCATCAAGGTAAGTCTTTACATAACAACAATTAGAAAATGTAAAAACAAGCTTCTTTTTAAGCTAGTAATTAAACATTTAATGATATAAATTCAGTTTTTGCAACAAATTAGCAAATTTAAATAAATGCATGAAGAGGCATGTACAAGTAGGATCATGTAAGTTGAATAAACACAATTATTTTCCACATTACGTATATTGTTAGCATGCTATTACAAATAATTTCGACGAAAGAAAACAAGGTATATTAGGATACGAGTACTTAAACTATGCATAAAAAAGTAGATTTTTCACATTTCTTTTAAATCATGGTAAATTTTATATAACTGTCGTTTACCTTTAAAACTTCAGCCAGATTTCGATCTTTTGATATGAATTTTATCATGTAGATAATATCCACTATCTCCAATATAAAATATTAGTCAATTCATTGCAATTACAAGCATAGTTTTAAAACGGCTTCTGAGACTAAATTTTCTGAATTATAAATGTGCAAAAGTAAATGTTTATATCAAATTCCAGTAAGAGTGGCATCTTACTTTTCTATTCTCTACAAAATAAACTGGGTTTTATTAAATGCATTGCTTAAAATATTTCCAAGACATGTGATTTGGGCTAAATTATCCAGCAATACATATTTTTATCATTTCGAAATATGGAATATTCAAGTTATATTTGTGGGAGTTGGCAGAATATTGCATATCCATACAAAATAAGAGTTATGTGATATGATAAAATGCGTAAATCAGGAACCGGTATGAAAACGAAAGTTTTCGAGCATTCTTCTTATTTTGCGTGTTTATTGTGACTTTCTTTTTTCGACGTTCTCGTGTCCGATAATTCTTAACAACATAATTTATAATGATTTACTACCAAAGAGTTATTAGAAAGTTGGAAGTCGGCCAGACATAGAAATAGAAGCAGAAAGTGCTAGGAAGCGTCATATCATATTTATTAAATATCTTCCATGATAAATTTCCGGAATTCACAAGCCTACAGCGCCCGCGCGGTTAAGTCGCTAAACGTTGGTAGTTCTGTACGGGGTTCGAATGGCGGCGAAAGGGCTGGTTACATTGGCGTTTTCGTGGTTTTCTCCATGTATAATGCGTCTACGAGCCAGTTTCCCTTAGGGCGTCCTCCCGAAGTCATCCCTCCTCTTAGTCCTTTGCCATAATCAAGGTTAGGTTAGGTTAGGTTATTTAATTACGGCAAAGCCTCGAGGGCTATCTGCCTAAGGGGAGGGATGTGGAGGACTTTCCACGGGAAACTGACTCGTATACACGTTACACATGGGGAAAACCACGAAAACACCCATGCAGCCAGCCCATTAATGTGCAAGTCCTTACAGTACATCATATTGCTAAATATTTAACACTACATTATTTTCGAAATTATTGTACTTTCACATAAATTTAGCTGACGTGGTTATTCCTTTTAATTCTTTTCCCTCTAAATATGAGCATTCAGAACTAATTGAATCTGCTTCTTCTATCTGAGTTCTATACATAATACACCCATTGCCTCACTACAGATTTTCACTACAGATACTATAATTTTCAGAAAACCCATTGCCTCACTACAGAAAATTAGATTCTGGTAATTAGACTACAATGAAAAAGATAAGCTTAAGTCCTTTACCTTCAACAAAGCCTCGTACACATAATATTCTTTATAAATGTATAAAGTTCTTTCAAAAGGATGCACGATTGATTATTTTTTCAAGACCTGACTTAGTTGAGCATTTTCTGCACACTTTTATGTACCTAAAATTTTATTGTCTAGGCACAAAAGCCACTCAATGAATGCATTATTCTAAAATTAAATGGATTAAATACAACAAACGTTTCCAAGTGCCTTTTAATTTCAAGGGAATGATAAAGCTAATTATGTATTTAGTTGTAGTGTTAAATTGTACTGTGTTGTAATAAATCTTAAGTAAATCTTAAGTAAAGTAAGAAAAGGTATCATTATGTTAATGTACATGAATCGGAACTTCTTAATTTTGAATTATATCTTTTCATTTCAGAACCTTTTTTCATCAATAGCAAGTATCTGATGGATTTCGCAGGAGGGTATCTGACGGCAGATACCATTAATCAAAATCTGAGACACATGGAATTTCCTTGGCCAAGTCCTGTCGTATCTCGGGGAAATGAAATCGAAAGGGAAATTAAGAAGGTATGATATATGAAAGCGACACACGTCAACATTATTTATAAAATCATCATGAAAATAACGTTGGATTGACGTGATTAAAATTTATTGCTGTAAAATGTCATCAATAAAATCTAGGCCAATGTTAAGTTTTTTCCTCGGCTTGATTTTAAAGTAACATGAATATGTATTTACATGGTCTTTCAATCACAGATATAAATTTCGAAATGCTCTAAATAGAATGCATTCAAACAGTCAAACAGAGTATGATGCAGAGATGTTCCAAAACTGTATATCCTTTAAATAGCATTGTTGCATTTCTCTAAGTCGATTCCCGATACTTTTGAAACAAAACTGAAGTGTCTAAACTCTGGCAGATAAAACTGAAACAAAAGCAAAATTTACGCAAAATAGATGCCATAAAACTTTCAACGACATTGCCTATGCCAACAGCAAATTAAAAGCATAAAAATTCATTTGGTTTTAAAAAACCATTTATTAACCACTGAAGATTTTTATTGTTTTAAAGTTTTGTTGGAAAATGCTATTTCAATGCTGTTCGTTGCTCTTTTAAAAAGCCAGTGTATTTTTGCTTTGCCTACTGCATTAGGTTATTTAGATTACGGCAAAGCATGTGAGGGTTGTCTGTCTACAGAGAAAGATGCGTTCAATATTCGTTCAAAGAAAATTCATTCATACTCACGTTTACCCAGAGATAACAACTAAGCTTCCCAACAACCAACCCGTCTGCTTGAATTTGAACCTGGATCGAATTACCAGTGTTCAGCAATTTTACTGCTCGGCTCTTTATACCTCCGTTTGCTAGTGTGCTCTTCACTTACAGAATAAAAAGTCCGTAATAATTAATAAATCAACCACTGCTTGCAAATTAATCAGTTGTTGGATATTTTTTATGTTGACTCAGTTGTTGTTACTATTTTCTGAAGAAATTTTATGGAAAAAATGTTAATTTCACATTTTTGAAACGAGGTTGACTACAGAGTCATAGCTAGGGTTTTCAGCGCCCAGGGACAACCGAAGATTTCGTGCCCCTTACTGCTTGTCAAGGATGGTAAACATTTAATTCTAAAATGTCATAACATCAGTTTGGCGCCCCTTGGATTCCGCGCCCGGGGACAGATGCCCCCCTCTAGCTACGCCCCTGGTTGAGTAAGTTTCAGCAGTCAAGGTTGAAGTATCACTATTGAAGGAAAAAAAACTGTAATGTTGCGTATTGTCACATTATAAAAGCAATTTTTTCTTCTTTAAAGTAAAATTGACAGAAATAGCAGTTAATTAACTAATAAAAAAGTACATTATCTCTTAGTTTTTTCTAACGTTTATTCCTACAACATAATAATAATTTTCTGATAAAGAGATTTTAACTCGCACCTAATTTTGCTCTTTATTTTATTTTAAATCTGAGGAATCAGTTTATATTAGCAGATAACAAACTGAGTGGGGAAACAAAAATATGATATTAAGGATCCTGTGTGGTTTGTTCAGCTACATGGAAATGGACCAAAATGTCGTCAAATTTGACGACGAGCTGTCAAACATCGTCCAAACTCTATGTATTGGAATCGATAATATCTCAAGTTATTTCGAACTATGAACAAAACACTAGAAGTTGTCTACACCGAAATTAGCGCGCGTACAAATTAACTAAATATGTAAACATAAAATAAGTAAATAAATTTTAAAGAATGAAATTTGGTTTCAGAACTGGGCAGATTAAAGTTTGATTTTTTTATGTTTTAATCATTATCTGCATTTATTTCTTTATAAAGAAAAATAACTTATTACTTTTTAGTTTAGAGACACTGCTAAAGAAAATATATCTTTCTATTCGAATACCTCAAGAGGTAGTAATGCTGGTCAGTCAAAAGCCTATTTTATGCAATTACCTTATAAAAGGCATTAATTTACAATCGGCGATCAATGGAAAAACTGATTATTTCAACCTGCGTTGTTTTTTACTTTCGCCGCTTCCAAACGCTGTACATGGCTTTATAGTGATTAATATTTTTAGCCATGCATACGTGCACACTGCTTTTAACTAATCGTTTTATTTATGAAATTAGGAATAAAGGAATGTTTATTCTAGGCCGATCTACATCGTAATGAACGTTAATAATACGTATATGACGTTAATAATATATGACGTTAAAATTGTAAGAAACGTCTTTTAAAATTACAGTAGTGGTTCACATATTCGCAAAAATTATAATACATTATGTATCAAGTTATATCATACGTTAATCAATAAATGCATTGTAAATTTCATCAATTAGGAATATAAAATAGAAAATAAAAATATAAATTATCAAGAAGTGTATTTAATGCTTTAAGTCTCTCGGTTTGCAATCATAATGGTATAATAATAACCCAATAATAGTAATAGAATGTATATAGAACGATTTTTAAATAACAATTAAATATTTATAAATATGAATTTATATAATAATTTGCATAAAAATTAAACTTTTCAAATACAAAATTTAATTTTATATAATTCCTTTGGAGCAAAATTTCAAATAGTAAACTGCTGGATTTGCTAATCTTGCTTTAACAAGTTAAGTGTAAAATGTTCCATAGATTTGGGTGCGAAATAATCGGCGATTTTTGTAATCGATATAGTCATAGGGCCAGCTGCAAAGTTCATACTGTGCGTTGTTTTGGCCATCAAAGGATCATTAATTGCCAAAATGTTTAAGTTCTGTAGTTTCTTCCTAAACCTGATTAGATAGATTTGTTGCGAAATATGTATGGAAAAGTTACATAAATTAGAATATGTTTTCTCTTATACGTATGGATTTTCCATCCGTAACGTTGTCAAAATTTGCAAGTAAAGATATCAAAATTTTTGTATTTAGGTTATAAAAGTATACTGGACATTTTACTCAATGGACTGTTTTTTTCTACAGGGGAGCATGAAGTAAATAAATTTCATATTTACAGCACTGTAATTATTTATATTCAGCACTCTAAAGTAGAAACTCGCTAACTTATTTCGAGATACCTTGTGACTAGAAGTGCACATCTACAATTCTTATTTAAAAAAATAAAATCTATACTCACATTTTTCAAAGACTTCCATATAAGAGTGAGAAGATATGTCATAGAACTTGATAATCCCATGTTTACAGTCTTTGCTGCAAACAAGGAAGATCAAAGCAAACTTCGGGATCGAAGTATTTGCTTTGAATTTTGAAAGGTTTTTGTGATTGTCTGGAAAGCATTCGCATGCAATGTTGTAAGTTCAGTTGTTTTGGAAGAAACAGTACATGTTGCTTGCTAGTTTTCTAGTCTTAAAGAAAATTTTATAATAAAGAAATTTTTCATAAAAAAATTTGATACGCTTTTTTTTAGCAACCAACCATGTTTCAACACACTCATCAAACGAATATTACTGATTACCCAGTGATTTGTGGAATAACGCATTATGGCTACATATCTCATCTATATAGCTGTCCTAATCTTTAAGGTAGATTTTCAAGCAGGCTTTCAAGCACCATTTCCCACTTTCAAAGAGTGGAAGCAGTCAAACTGATGCAGTTTCTTATAATGAATTTAGTGCAAAATTCTCCCTCCTCTTGAATTTTTAGTACTGGTAGACTCTGTTCCAAGTAAAATATACAAACGCAAAATACGCTTGGTGCTAAGTACATAAGACAGATATCTATTTATTTACTCACTACCTATCTGTATATTGTGATTAAATAAAATTGTCAAATAAGGCTAATTTTCCCTTTATGGTATTTAATTAGTTCTATTTAATAGAATCTAATTCAATTTCGTAATATTTTTTATATTTATGAAGTTTGCATTATATTGAACCAGAGCTAAGAATCTTTGCAATAGCACAAGATAATATCACATGCAACTATATTGCGGCCTGAGTTAGATGAAGAAGGCAGCGAGCTAAAATGTACAGTGTTAATGTGTGTGGTATTAGGTCCTATGGATAGTTAAAACAAAATACAGGATCCAGAAGATTTAGACCATGTCGATTCAGAAACAGTTTTAAATAATTGAAATGAATTTAATTTAATTGATAATTTTTGCTCTATAAAAATATACAAATAAAAATTCAGAGCTTCTTCCATTAATCTTTCCGGTAATCAACGACTTTAAGGCTACTGAGTTTACAGTAATTCTATAAAAGGCCACCCTCTGACCATCTGAATATGTTGAAAGAAGGGAAACTATGCAATTTCCAAATCAATCAGAATTTTAAGCAGGTTTGCAAACGAAATAAATTACAGGCCGGATAAATATTTACACAGACATAACTATCCAACTGAGATAATGTATGCAGATTTATTGGTTTCGTATCCTAGAAGTTATATTAATAAACACAAAATTGCACTGCTAATAATCAACCACTTTTCTAAAATGGGTAGAAATAATTCCCTCCTGCCACGTTGCTTCCAAATTTGTACCACTGTGTGTTTTTAAATAGACACATCTTAAAATCTGAAGTCACAACTAAAATTAATTTTAGTTATGCGACTTAATTTATAAGCAATGATACATGGAGCTGGTGGTTTTTAAAACAATATAAAGAAAATCATTTAATAAGATGTGAAACCATTTAGCATATACTTCAACATCAGAGCGACATGACACAACAGGAGAAGCACTCGCGAGCTTCATTTTAGGCCTGAACTATATCATACTGTTTGTTAAATCATTCTTTGTTCAGCAATGTGAAAAGAAGTTTAAATAGAAAAATGTGCAGAATCTAATAGAAGAAAGAAGGTATAGATCAGTAAACGCAAAGCAAATGCAAAAGTTGGTTGCATAAATTAACTTAAGAATGTGCTCGAATGATAACCAAGCAATGCATTCGATTTTATAGTTTATTATGTTTTAAGATCTAAGAATCTAAAAACTTAATTTTCTTGTGTTTTAGGGAAAAAAATTTACTTTTGAAGAAGTCATCCATGCTCACGCTGGGGATCCTCAAGGAATGGGACAGAAACCTGTGACTTTTTTTCAGCAGGTAAATTTTTCGTTATTACGGAAATTTTTAAACCAATGTGAGCGTATTTATGTAAAGTACGCACATCAATTTTTAACTGTTATCAAAAGGAATGAAGGAATTAGTTTTGATTTATACATTTTATACAGTGTAAATATTTAGCTTTTAACAGTTTTTTCAGAAAGCACGATTTGGAAAATTTTAAGTAATAACAGTAGAATCCGTTTTAACCGGCAGCAACGGGATTGCGCATATCTCGGATAAGAGGTTTACTTAGATAACATGATTTTATATTTCAGAAAAAAAAAAAACATTTTAAAGTTATCATATTTATTCTCAGATGAAAATTATGTGCTTCTTAGTATGATGGCATTCAACTTGTCGTCTGCTTCCTTTTAAATTTGTCGCTACAGTTTTAAAATTTCGCTGTGCTTGCAATGAAGTTTCTTCATAACATCATGTACAGACATAGATGGACATTTCTCAGGAAATCTCATGAAAGTTTGCAATCCTTTGTCAGCTTCCTTCGTCGTAATATTCTTGCTCTGAGTAGCGTTTTTATCTTAATCCCCATCCTTCTCCTCATCTTTCTGCTTTTTCAGTACATGTCTGACTATTTCGTCGTCACCTTAGTAGAGGGCTAGAGAGAATTGTCTATATCCATCTAAGTCTGAACCTCTTCACTAACACGAATTTTATCCAAATATGTAAGTATATCCAACATGTCTGATACGAGCGGATTTTAAAACCAAGAGAATCTGTCACTCGATTTATCATCTACGAACATGATTATGAGGCCACAATTTACACCAACAGTTGCACAAAGTAGTGGTCTTTATATATTTACAAGAAAGTGACAAAATACACATGGCGTCGTACACTGTGAATTGTTTCTAAAAATCGAAGACACTACTTTCAAATTTCACACATGGACGCACGATCGGTAGTTCATCTTTATATTCTGGATAATTCCTTTATTAACTAGCCGGATAAATCTGATACCTTGAACGACAGAAATGTAACTCCAATGTTTACAACAGTCAAGTAAAAAAATTGTTAGCTCATTACATATTTTTTTTTTATCTCATAGGCCTAAATCTCTGATTTAAATCTAGACTTTAAAAGTACCATTATTTTTATATTGTCGGTTAATTGGGTTCCGGTTAAGAGGGATTTTAATGTACTTTATTCCTGTTGTTTTATTAAAATCTGAAATGTTATTTTGTTAAATACGTAACTTATTATAGTTTTTATTTGTATAATACATTTTTATTTGATGTACAAATGAGGAATTAAGAAACAAAAGATTCATGTTAAAATGTACACTTGTGTTCGGAAATTAAAGGATATATATAAAAGCAATATTAGCTGTATAATAATTAATAAAATTTTCACTGAGCGAAATTGTTTGTTATAATTACATGCTATTGAAGGCAACACCTATTGCTGGAGAATATGCATAGAAGTCGAACCCAAGATATAGTCTCCTTGTTCTTTTTGGTAGCATACAACTTGGATTCTACGTAAAAGACGAAGTAGCGTATACTCTTTATGGCTTTTGAGAATAAATACCGCAGAGTAAGGTTTAAAATAACCTTTTCATTTAAAACTAAATTAAAACAGATGCACGAACTTGGTGCTCACAAATCACTACCACTTGTGGCTACCGTAAATTTAACAGAAAATAAGAATGTAACAAATCACTTATACATTAAGATATCTAACGATTGGCTCCTTAGTTTAACTAAACGCTAAATCGGCTGCACACATCAAAGCCGAGTCGAGAAATATCAGTATAAACTGAGGTGTCCAACACCGACTATAGAGCTAAGTTCAAACACGCAGCATAAACTTGGAAATAAGTCCGCTACTACGCTTTTCGAACTTTTGAAACGCAGCTTAAATACTGCTTCTGAAACAAGTTTAGATTAACATCTACGTCATTACAAATTTATATTCCGGCAGGAAACTGAAATCAGGAGGGAAAGAAAAGTCAAACTAAAAATAATTGGTTAGAATAACATAAGTCCTTACAATATTTCTCGCCAGAATTTAAATATTTGAAAATTAGGTCTTTGAACGACCTGTTCGAAAAATTTAAATTCTAACTTAAACTTGAGCCAGCATTACAATATAATGCTATTTAAATACTTTACATTTGAACTTTAACACTACAACTTAAAGGAACACAATTTTCATCTTGACTAACAACTTCTGTTGGGTCTCATGTCTTTCCAGTGGATCTGGAAGGAAACTAATATTAGTTGAAGTTCTAGATAATATATGCATTTCACTAGACAAATCGTGAATTTTATTTTGATTTTCACAAGTTTATATTTCCACCCCTAGCTCTCCAGCGTATGTACTCAGATCTTCAAACGCAAGTAAAAAGTGGTATGTTTAAATCACAACTTCTGCGTTTGACTGACAGCCTGCATGTTAGTAGTCTCAGACACACTAGGAACACCATCTCTCGTCAGATATTATTTGATGTCTTTCAGACATATTTAATATGATCTGACTTGGGTCCCCTAGTTCCCAGTCGCCCATTAAAAGGGGGGGTATATAATGTATTTCCTTCCTCCTTTGCATGCCTTCGTGGTGCAACGGTAGCACACTCAGCGCATATTCGAGAGGTCCAGGTTCGAGTCCCTGCGAGAGCATTACTCATTTTTCACGTCTCCCGCATAAAAAGTAACCTAATAACTCTACAGTGCTTTGTGTTCATAAGCTTATAGTTATTATACAAAAATTACACTTTGGGTAATTTTAATCAGTCTTTTTACAATTAGCACCAACTTTACAATTATCATTTAATTTTGAAAAACCAGTTAATTTTATGGAAAATATCCTATGTGATGCAATGTAAGACTTCTTGTCGGAAATAATAAAGCATTTTAATAAATTCCATAGTATTATAGGAAATCTGTTACAAAATTGTTTTCATCATGAGTTTGCAAAATCAGAGACTTTATTACTGTCCTCAGGAAAAATGGACTTTTTTTAAACATTTAATATTCCGCAACATCTTTAAGTCGAACAAACTCAGCACCGTGATTTTTGAATAAACTCAATTTTCGCGGAGAAAATAGTGAATGCTTAACTATACGCGCCAAATGTCATCGCTCTAAGTAGGATAAATCAGAAGTCGGAATTGTTTTTTTACAGAGTATAGACGGAAATAAAGATACGTAAAGTTAAGACAGACTCAGAGATTGCGTACAGTAGACAAACGACTGTAATTTATTCATTGATTAGTTTTAATTGTAAGCATGAATCTAAGCTAAAATAAAAATGTAACAAAATGCAATGTACAGCAAACATAATTTTTCTAGTTTGGTCCTCATATTCTGAGCAATACCTACATTTACCTCAAGAGGACTTATTGTTTTTATAATTAGGCTAATTTAATTTTAATAATGTTGATTATATTAAAACCTTTGCATTTTATTTTTATATAACTAGGAATCGTTAACAAGTGTCACCGCTCATCGCCTGTCTTATATACACTGGTGTGCAAAAATTAAGGACGAGACGGTTTTTTCAATGTAACTTTGTACAAAAGCTTTCCAAATCAACACATTTAATACCGTAAAATCCCCAATACGTAAGGACATGAGTAATGTAAGCAACACTTACTAAAAGAGAAATCGGAGGGATAATAAGAAGCTTTATTGAAAAAGTAGCATGGAGCGCAATGCGACTGAAGGCAGAAACATCCCTGTGATGGGTGGCCAGCAAGAAACATCCGGTCTTTAATAGGGGATATGATCTCCCCTGACTGCTAGGCAGGTTTCACAGCGTCTGCCCATGCTGAGAATGAAGGTGTCAATGAGTTGTTGAGGCATTGCTGCCCATTCGTCTTGCAGCGCCAATCGAAGCTCCGGAATCGTTACTGGTGGTAAGGTACGAGCTGCCAAGCGTCTGCCTAGAAAATCCCATACATGCTCGATGGGATTGAGATCCGGAGATCGTGCCGGCCAATCCATACGTTAAAAATCCTCACTCTCTAAGAGCTGTTCGGCAGCTACTGTACGATGAAAAGGAACTGCGGACCCATAGCGCCTCTAAAAAAGACGCACGTATGGAAGAAGAATCTCGTTACAATAACGGGTCCCGTTGACTGAACCTGCGTCGAAGATGTGAAGGTCTGTACGACTACCAAGCATGATGCCTCCCCAAACGAGAACACCGCCACATCCATACCTGTCCCTTTCAATGATGTTCGAGGGATGATTGCGGCTTTCCCGCTCTCTCCAGATGAGTATGCGATGAGAATCGCTACTCAGACTGAATTTGCTCTCATCTGTAAAGAGTACTCGTCCCCATTCATTGTCTCTCCAATTCCGGTGTTCCCGGCACCACAGAGAACGCCTTCTCCGATGGGCAGGCGTTACAGGTACACACCGTAAAGGGCGTCGTGCAAACAGACCACCACCGTGCAGTCTTCTGGCCACGGTAAAACGCGATATCGGTCGTCCAGTCGCCTGTGTCGTGTGTCTAGCGATTTCTCCCGCTGTCTGCCGCCTGATTCTTCTGGCCTGTAAGGCAATATACCGGTCATCTGCGGGTGTGGTTCCTCATGGACGACCACTACTAAACCCCCGGATAGCTGTTCCTGTAGTTTGAAATTGTCTCCAAAGTCGTGAAACGATGCTGTGAGCAATTCCGAACTCTGAAGCCACACTTGTCACACTGCGGCCTTCCTCCAACTTCCCAATGATTCGACCTCGGGTAAAAGCATCCAGATGTCGTCTAACAGATTGATTATTCGCCATTTCTCGCTGAGGCAGCAACTCGGTGTATTTTTAACTGCTATATGGCGTGCAATCTCTTTGCCAGAAATACTGATCTTACACCGGCAACATGCTTTATACTACTCAGACACTCCCCCATTACGTCTACCTGCATATCTGCGCATGTGCTACCGTACATCACCTTACTTAATCTCCTGATTGGTCTTTCTGTCCGCTCTGCCTCTTCGTTCAGCTGATATGCTAATTTTTGAACTTCGTCCTTAATTTTTGCACACCAGTGTAAATTGGTATTTCGGTTAATCTAATTAAACATGATGAGACTAGCTTTGTCTTTGGAATGCAGAGAAGTATAACTCTAAATGAAAAATAAATTTATGCATTTTGAAAACTCAAAACTGATAATTTGAATATAGATATTCTTAGTCCAAAGGGGCTTTGTCCCTGAAGGACTATTGTTTTCGTTTTGCGATTTTGCATTGAATCACTATAAATGTCCGTTTCACTTTTTAAACTGTTGCCACCAAATGTTAGAGTCCACCAAATGTTGAAGAAATTAAATAATGATAAATCTGCATAAATGTACGTATATTTCTCGCATTGTAATAAAACAATGGTACATTGAGCCATCGAATTTTGAATAACGTAATCCTCCTATGAATATGGGCATGTGGAAGACCAAATTTGTTTTATTATCGATTTCATATTTTGTAAAACTTTAACGAATTTTTTATTAACAAACTCAAGGATTTCAAAGCGAGCAATGGGGCAAGACTCTACGGAGGAAAAAAATCTTTTAATCTCTAGCGCGCTGAACTGTGTATCGGAAATTCTAAAGATATGCTCATTTTAAAATTATTTTGCGACATTGCTATTGAACTGAATTTTATGGTTTAAGTGCAAAGAACATGATATTTAATAAATAAAGGTAACACACAAAACGTTAAAAAAAACGCCCCCTTGGACGTAATTTAAAATCTCAAATCTTTCAGATTTTTTTTTTTTTTTTTTTTGTTTGTTTTGTTTTTTGGAGAATTAACATGAAAACATGGGAAATTAAGTAAGAAAGAATCTCGTATTACCTGTTTGCCTCTCTGTTTATGCATGACATATTCAACGATATTCATTTCTTTGTATAATTAAACTTTTTGGAAGATATTCTTCATAATCGAAGCAAATTTCTATTTAAGCAACTTCAACTTTGCAGTCAGTTCTGTCATTTCAGTTTACGTTTCTTCCTCGTTTCGCTTAAATAATACTTACCTTATTTGAAGTCACTTAGATTGGTTATTTACATATGAATGCAGTATTTGACAGTTTGGTCTTTATCATTTTAATATTTCGGAACGTTTTTGTTATATTTTTGAATGTTTAAAACACTTTCTTAAATTTAATATTCAAAACCGTACCAGTTCACGCCAAACTTGAACAATCCTTAGTATAAAACACTTTTAAAATCTTAGTCATGTATCCTGTTAGATATAAAAGCTATTCGAAAGTGTATAAGTGTTGTTGTTGTTGTGACTAATCTAGCTTGTCTGATATCAGAGCAAGCCCACGAAATTCATCGTGGCAAAAAGAGGGAATACTGCGCCTATCGCTCGCAAAAGAGTTGGGCACCATACAGGTGACAGAACTACTTTGCTTAGTTCAGCCCCCAGTGTTGAAAGAGAGCACCCCGGGGTGATGGGTCCGTGAGTTTCTCTTTTCTCTCACCTACCAACAATCTTTCGGCAGGAGTAAGAATTCTATTACCCGGAGAGACCCAAGACCCATCACCCGGCACTCAAAATACGGTGATGAGTTTCGGATCACCGTATTTTGAGTGCCTTCATTCCTTAGGTCCCAATCACATTATGTATCGGCTACGCGGGACTTGACGTCGAAAGGGACAATTCTCAGAACCCGCACGATTCCAGGAAACACACGTAGCTAGATTACCATTCTCACTTACTACAAAGACTTGAACGCCAAACAGTAATCGATTATCGCTCAAATCGGGATCACGTGATCCTTCAGAAGCAGAACTTTCGTCTGATTGGTTGTGTCTACCCGGGACCCGAGACATTTTCGGTGAGGTTTGAAAAAATCCCGCGAAGCCGCAACATTTCTTCCATAGCTAGGCGGGACTTCCTTTCAGGCGGGGCTCTTTTTTATAGGAGTCCTCCCGTTTAAACCAGTCCTACCAGAATCTCGTTTCTTAGAAACGTCCCGCCTAGCAGGGACTGTAGCCATGTATGGTAACCTCTTTACGGACACTATACATTTACAAACATCCACGACTTCTCTGGGATTCGAACCCGGACCCTTCGGTACTGCAATCTGAGTCACTAATCACTATCCTGTTTGGGTGGCGCATATAAGTAGCATCTTTAACAAGAAACTGGACGACTACATGCTACAAATTTATATTCTTAACCCATGCAGGCATATCAAATCTCAACGAATGCGAACGAAGCCCCTTTCAATTGGTCAGGTACTTGCAGTACAGTAGAATCTCATTTATCCGCATAACTGAGGTGGAGTCATTTCGAATGAACACTTTCTTTCGGAAAATTCATGGTAAAACTATTTGCGGCAGTTAAAAGTAAAAAAAGGTAATTTAAAAGCTGGTACCTTCTGACTAGCGATAGAAGAAAAATTGTCGTCCGCCGCTAAAAAAGGCACTGTAATGAGGAGAGGATATTTGTTTTCAATTTTTCTAACTACATTCCTAACTAAAATAACATGGTTTAAATTACTTTTTTCTAGTTCTTTAGGATAAATCATCAGTAACAGTGGCATTTAAAAATTAAATAAGAGTGAGCAAGCCGATCAAATTGCGCTGCTACGTACGTACTTGTTGTAGTCGAATCTGTAATTAGATAAATTATAACACATTTTTGCCTTATTATTAGATCACACCTTTAACTTCACATCTAAAGAACTCTGCCTCGAAAGAGTAGATTAAATGTAGAATGGCTAAAACGAAAACCTAAAAAGTAACTTTTAAGGTGTTTCTTTCCGCCTTCTTAGCATGCCTTCGTGGTGTAATGGTGAGCACGTTCGGCGCGTATTCGAGAGGCTCGAGTCACGGCGAAGGCATTGCTCATTTTTCGTGTTTCCTATTTCGAAATAACCGAATGTCTTTACAGTGGCGCCCGAAATAAAAAAAGGTGGTGGATGATGATTTTCTACCACCAGGAATTGGCGATTAGGTCCCCTAATCCCCATTCGGCCTTTGAAAGGAAGAGTATAAAAGGTATTTTCTCACCTTCTTTAGCATGCCTACGTGGTGTAATGGTCAGCACACTCGGTGCGTATTGGAGAGGTCCGAGGTTCGAGTCCCGGCGAGGGACTTGCTCATTTTTCATGTTTTTGGCTTCGAAATAATCTAGTGCCTCTACAAACTATTAATAAAAAATAAAAAGTTTTTAAAATTAGTGAGTTAATACTTGTTGTATAATCTTAAGGGAAGAAAGTTTTCAGAAATCGATCGCAAAGACATCAGACCTTTTTGAAGCTTTGTATTTTGTTAATTTCTCAGTATAATCTGAAATTTCCTACCGCCATGGTTTTAAATGAAACTAAAAGAGAGAGAATTAAAATAAATAATTAAGGAATAAAAAAATTTAAAAAAAAATAAAATAAAAAAATAAATAAAAATTAGCTACTTTTCAATTCCAAAAAACTTCATTTTAACGAACGACTAAATATGCTTAATACTTTCTTTATTTCTGATATTGCTGTTCTGACACTTCACTTCAAATATTTTTCCAAAGAAAGTTTGTAAATATTTCGATGAAAAAGCCACTAACTGACTATACTGACCATGGAAATAAAATAATTGGGAAAGCAATGACAGTTGTCAAGCATGTAGTAGAGCTAGAAAATCATACAATTTAGAAGAAAACTTAGAATATAATTAGTTTTTCTTTAGGTTGTATCACTATGCTTTAATCCAAGTCTTCTGCAAAGTCCTTCCTTCCCATCTGATGCAAAGCAGAGAGCCATGACCATCTTAAAACATTGTAGAGGATGTAGCACTGGTATGCTTTATTTTTATATTATTTTTCATGTATTATTTTGTATTTATTTCTTCATAAAATAACTTTGCTCTTTAGGCACAATATGGATAACTTTATTTTCGTTTTTAATTACGTGAATAAAACAAAGTATTTGATGTTCAAAATAAAAGTAATTAATTTTAAAATAAATGTGTTAGTAAATTAATCACGGACTTTCCCAATGTAAATATTGACGTTCATAAAAGATTAATATCTTTTGAAATTACAAGGGAAGTCTAATCGAAATGAATAAAGAAAAGTAATTCGGCTAGTTGGAAGAACATTCAAGTCCAAATCGAGGAAATTTTAGATGTTTTCAGCAAGATGCAGATGAGTGCAGGATATAAAAGTAGTGGGATTAATAAAAAATTATTCTAAATCATTAAAAAATATCTGTTATGACCTTCCAAGGGGACCATCAAATTCCTTCCATATTTTCCAACAAATTCATATTGTACAGTAAATAAACAACTTACAGTGGAACACAACGACTTCAGTTCCTTCGAGTTAGAGATAGAAAGTGAATTTTTCGTCCTATTTCCAGTTCTATAGTTCTAAGATTTTGGAATTTTGTAGAAGAAAGGAAACTAGTCTGTTTTCTTTATTATTTAATGAAGCAGATATGACATTTCGGCAGAAGCACGCACCGAACTTATAAAACCAAGGAAAAATTAGAAAAATCTCTGTTCACTGGTTAAGTTTTAAAGGCAGCTCCCCTAACAGTTATATGAATACGTTGGGCACACGCAGAAGCATAAAAATGTAAGCCCCTTAGTAGCATTATGCTGACAGATAACAGAAACAGTACACAAGCACGGCAAACTTGCACTGTGTTAAAGCTTACAAGAAAACGTATAACCGACATTTTCAGCTTTCAGTACTTAAAGTTATAAATCACACTTCAGCACGAAGTAGCCTTTAATTAAAGACTCGCATTATAGTACATTTAAAAATAGTCTCTGTCATTAAAACACTATAACTGCGATGATTATTTACACATTAGAATCAGTTTCAACGAAAACAAACTTTATTATCATGAAAGAAATCAATGACTCTCCTCGCGAACGATGTAAATCGTTCTCAAACTTGAATATCTCGTGTGTATTTGTGTGTATTTAATTATGGCAAAACACACTAGGGCTATCTGCCTAAGGGGAGGGATGCCTTCGTGGAGGACTTTCTAAGGGAAACTGGCTCGTATACACGTTACACATGGGGAAAACCACGAAAACACCCATGCAGCCAGCCCGTTCGCGGGATTCGAACCTCGGACCGAACTACCAGTGTTCAGCGACTTTACCGCTCGGCCGCTGGTGGGCCCCTTTGAATATCTCGTACTGTTGCCATACACAAATTGCTAAATTATACTAACAAAATAAGTAATGCATTATTAGCATCCTCCCACCTTTTGATTATAAACCCTAATCAAAATATAAAATTACCATTAAATATATTAAATAAATAAAACACAGAAATACTCTCAAGTATAAGAAATAATAATAACAACCAATAAAACAATGCTTTGGAATAAAGAACTGGACACTCTGAAAATCAATATGGGATTTTTGAATGTAATTTGGAAAAGATAACAAAACGAAGCATGTTATCTGCGATTCATAAGGTATTCGATCTTTTTGATTTTTTCTTCCCCGTTATCCTCTGTCCAAAAATAATGTTACGAAATGCATGAAGAAAAGTGTCAGTTGGGACGAGGAGTTGACTGGCGAACTTCGTAAAGATTTTTATTACAATGGCTTGAAGAATTAAAATGCTTAATTGAGATTGAAATTCTCAGATTTATTCAAGTCACTTCAAAAAATTTAAGTAAGTGTGCTCTTCACACTTTTGTTAATGGCAGCAAGCGGTTATGCAGCGGTCTTATGCAGCGGTTACATTTCTAAGAATTGAGAACAACGATCGAGTTGAACTGTTTCTTCTTGCTGCAAAATCTCGAGTTGCTCCTTTAAGAGGGGCCACTATGCCAAGAATTGAGCTTTTGGCAGCCGTAATTGGTGCTAGATTGACAGATTCATTAACTAAAGGGAAAGAGTTAACAAGTATTACTGGAGTGATTCCCCAACAGTGCTCGCATGGATTAAAAGAGATGAAAACTGGTCTGTTTTCGTGCGAAACCGTGTTAAAGAGATCAGAGAACTCAGTAAACCTTCAGCTTGGAAGCACGTTCCTGAAGAAAGAAATCCTGCTGATCTGCCATCCCGAAGTTGCAAGGCGAAATATCTAATTACATCAAGATGGTGGGAGGGACCACACTAGATGAAAGGTCCTACAGAATTCTTTAATTACAAGGATCCTGTAACCACCATTTCCTGTTCCATAGCTGGAATGAAGAAGAGATTGAAAGGGAGAAGTTGAAAACTACTAGCACGATGACAAATAATGAAACCGTTTGGGATAATAATTGGTATTACAGGCATTTTTCTAATTATGAGAGAATCGTACGTATGGTCGCCTGGATTCTTCGTTTTAAGCATAATTGTACAAATACCGAAAGCAGGAGATACGGAAAGTTGAATGCAACAGAATTTCGTGAAACGGCGTTAAAGATATTACGTATTATTCAAAAGGAATCCCTTGATTTGGAACATGATAGACTCAAAACACTTCAGGTATTTAAAGATGATCGGGGCATCTATCGTGTAAAAACTAAGATTATTTACAGGAAGGATAGTGAAGACGAAGTTGTGAAACGACTTATTTTCTCTGTTCACGTGAAGAATTGTCACGCAGGTGATCAGATACTTTTGAATCTGCTTAGATTGGATTCTTAACGGAAGAAAGACTGTGAAAAACATTGGGGCTAATTGCACAATCTGTAAAAGATATAGTTCAAGGAACATGGAAGCGATATGCGCACACCTTCCTGAAAATCGTGTTAAAGATGCTGCGGTATTTCAAGTTACAGGGGTTGACATGGCTGGGCCTCTGTTTCTAAAGGAAAGTAGAAAGAGTTGGGTGTTAATATTCACTTGCGCAAGTGTACAGAGCAGTACATTTTGAGCTAATTACTGCCGCTTACACAGGCGCCTTTTAATGGCATTTAGAAGATTTATAGCTCTCAGAGGAAGATGTACTATTGTATATTGTGACAATGGATCTAATTTTGTCTGAGCATCCAATTCATTAAAACAACTAGATTGGAACCGTATACAGAAACATGGAGTCGTTAATTCGATTGACTGGAAGTTTAACTCACCGATTGCCGCATGGTGGGGCGGTTGCTGGGAGAGAGAGAGAGGAGCGACTAATAAGAATACTGAAAGATCTCTTAAAAAGAGTATTAGGAAAATCTCATCTAAATTATGAAGAAATGGCAACTGCTCTGGCAGACTGTGAAAGCGTAATCAACTCAAGACCTCTGACTTATATCTCTGAAGGAGATGTGATAAAGCCCATTTCTCCATCGATGTTTCTTCAAGACATTCATGAATGCAGTGTTCCAGATATTGATGCTGTGGAACAAAATTCTTTGTCAAAGAGATTCAAATACAGACAAATCATACTTAAAGAATTGAGGAACCGATCTCGGTCGGAATACTTAGGTGCTCGCATTCAACAAGGGAACAATAAAAATTTAAGACACCCATTGGTTGTGGGTGATATTGGTCTAGTGGGAGCTGATACCAAAAGAAGAATTAACTGGCCTTTAGGTCGTATTAGTGAGCTTGTTCCAGGTAAAGACGATAATGTGCGGCTTGTTAAAGTGCAGACTTTACACCAAGAACTTCTTCGTTCCTATTCAGACAATATATCCTCTTGAGATAGCATCTCCTATTGACTGTCCTAAGCCTATAGAATCCAATAGTTTGACCAAGTTCTCAAAGCAGCCTGTTAAACAGGATAATGGTGTGTTTGACAAGCCAAAATTTAGTAGGACTAGTAGAAAAATTAAGGTTCTAGAAAAACTGGACTTATAATTTAAATAAGTGCTGTAGTGAAATACTTTTATATTTGTTGTTATTATTATTTCTTATACTTAAGAATATTTCTGTGTTTTATTTATTTAGTATATTTAATGGTAATTTTACATTTTGATTATAGTTTTATAATCAAAAGGTGAAAGGATGTTAATAATGCCTTACTTATTTTGTTGGTATAATTTAGCAATTTGTATATGGCAACAGAACGAGATATTCAAGTTTGAGAATGATGTAACACCGCGAGGAGCGCCATTGTTTTCTTTCGTGATACTAAAGTTTGTTTTCGTTGAAACTGATTACATTGTACTCGTATAAATAATCACCGCAGTTATAGTGTTTCAATGATAGAGACTATTTTTAAATCTATGATGCGAGTCTTTAATTAAATGCTACTTCGTGCTGAAGTGTGATTTATGATTTTAAGTACCGAAAGCTGAAAAAGTCGGTGATACTTCTTTCTTGTAAGCTTTAACAGTATATACTTTCCTTGTTTGTGGAATTTAAGCAATGTAATGCAAAGGATTTACGTTCTTTGTGTAACTCTAAATATGTACTAGAGTGGTATTATGAAGAATTTCAATTTAACAACTTTTGTAGTATAGTTAATCATAGAATTATATAAACTGAGAATGCATACTGCATGGAAGTAGGCATAGTACAGTTTCGACCTACTTTGTAAAAGTAAAATAAATACTAGGTCGCAGTATGTGCAGTTGTTGCCGTATTGCAATGCCACCAATTGTGTAGGATTTTCTTGCACAGAAGTTTAACTCAATGTCCTTCAGACCGTACTAGACAAGCGAGTTATTGCTCGAGTCTGTCAAGTCTTCAGAAGGTTAGAATAATCTCTTTTTTTTATTTAATTCTTGAAAATAACAGAAGGCTACAGATGAATGAAATTTAGATTTAAGCAAAACGCTCTAAGACTACACAGAATAGTCTACTTTAGCTGCCTCAAGCAATTAACAGCGCCTTTTTAAAGATGGTTAGCAAAATTCATAAACAACTTTGTAATTAACTGTGGGCGGCTGGTGATAGGACGTTGACTACTAACAAGGTTCCCAGAGATTCTATAACTAATTTGAATTCGGGTAAGGACTACGAAAGGAAGAAGTTATAATAAAACTTCAAGTTATCAAAATTGGATAATTAACATAAAATCCTACAATTAAAACTTGTATTTTATAAATAACGTTCCACATGCAATGTATTTATGCTCAGATATAGTCCATGCACGACAAACTTTGCCCCAAAATCATTTAGTTCTAAATGAACAGAAAATGTTGCACTATCACCAGTAGCAATATTCCTTTCATATATATGATAATGCTCATTATGCTTTTTCCCTGTAGAAGGCACTCATCAATTCGTAGGTAGTAATTAATTTAAATCACTAAGCATTATGGAAGATAATGTAGTTCTGGGAATGTTATATTTTAGAACTCACCTTTTTCTCAAATCTGATTTGCTGATTATATATATCACATTTAAAACTAAGTTAAATAATCAGCCGAAGCTGCACAGAGATAATTAACGCGATTTGGCTCTTATCCCTACCACAGACGTACACAAACCGACAATTAATATGCACGACCGTAAGAAATTGCTAAGAAATTTCTGCCGAAAAGAAACAAACAAAAACCTATTAATAAGTAGTTTTATAAATTGTTTTCCACGATCAATATCGAACTAAAATTAAAATAGGTACCTAATACCATGCATTGTATGAAATAAATAAGTTTTTCCTATTTAAAATTACCACTCTTTTTCTTCAAAAAATTACTAAATTGCGCCAAGTTGGTTACTAATTCCAAAGTACAGTATATTGCATGTTTTATCTTATTGTGAGAATATTTCACGCAATTAATGTTTCAAGTATTATTTTTTCACTACTAGTTTTCATTTTACTTTGTGGAGGACGCTATAACTGTAACTGTTAATTACTGGACTCGTACAGACAGTCAGCTGACTTGTTATCTGTTTTCAACTTCTAAATAAGGCCCACCAGCGGCCGAGCGGTAAAAGCCGCTGAACACTGGTAGTTCGTTCCGGGGTTCGAGTCCCGGCGAACGGGCTGGCTGCATGAGCGTTTTCGTGGTTTTTCCCATGTGTTACGTGGATACGAGCCAGTTTCCCTTAAAAAGACCTCCACGGGGCATCCCTCCCTTTCCGTGTAGTGCCTAAGGGCGGAGCACGTAATAAATTTAAGAAAAAAAAAAAAAAAACTTTTAAGTAAAATATTTCCACTCAGAAGAAAAATTAAAATAAAACCTTTTATTTGATTTTCAGCTTATACTACGTACGTAATAACAGAAAACAGTCTCCGAAATCGAAAGAAACCAAACAGAAAAAATGTTTAATCAAAATTCAAATATTTAATTACGAGGTAAAGCGCCATGCAAACTTTGGCTGAGGTTCTCAAATGCATGCGAAAAGTTACGACTAGCCAAGCTAAAGCCGAAATAAGTAATACAGTGGCTGGGAGAAGTAACTGACTGGCAGCAATAGTTGTTAAAAGCTTTCTCGAACTCAAAACCTCTATTCTTAAATACATCAACTTTCATTCGTAGGAGCGAACACGAAAGAGAAGTGAAAGTAAAGCAAATTTTAGTAGAAGTTTATGCGAAATGGATTGTAAGCGGTATAGTTTAAAAGTAGGTGTTTAATCTTAACTGTGATCCTTGAACCGTGATTTTGTAATCTTGCCTATGGTCTTCACAGGCTTTGGAAAGCTGCCAAGAGTTAGCTGTGAGCAGTAAATAGTAACGAAGATTAGATTTCCATCTCGAGCCCATGAGTTGTCGATTGGGACTAATATATTATTGTAATCAATCGTAATCCAGGCATAAAAGCAAATAGCCTGCTGTCGTAAAGTTTGATAAGAAGCACTCAATTTTAGTACGGTATTATTTCAATTTTCAAAAAACACGGAAGTCTTTTTCTTTGGACAGCTGTTTGTATTTATGACAAGTTTTAAGACATTTCTCATCGTTGATGTTATACCTTCAAGCAAAAAGAGTTTGGAATTTTATCAGTAGAGTTTAATGTTAATTAAAAATGTCATCCTCATGCAAAATATTTTCTCATTTTTATAAGCCTACGAGTTACGTAGAATTGACTGAATCATGGCAGACAAATCTGATTTAAATCATAGTAGTAAAATCTGATTTATTTGAGGGCATGAGGGCAATCGTGTACAGAATTTAGATACTTAAATTAATTGAAATATATTGCTTATAAATTTGATTATTAGGCTAAATTTTATTAGCTTTACACTGTAGCTTGATTTGTTCTTATTTTCTTTTATGGTTGTAAGGAATAAATTATTGTTACATTCCTTTAAATTAAATTCTAAGCAGAAGTCCTTAATATGCAAGATTAATTCAATAAAATAAGGTAACAATAGCTCTCACATATTTAATAATCCTTCTTATAGTCAAATTTCCTACCCGGAAGATAGCAAACGACCACAGCATTCAAACGTTGCCTGTAGATGACGCAGGTGTTGTATCAGCGCTGCGGAATAACATGCATAAAATGGTTGCATTAATGGTCTTACCACATATAGCGACGTGCAACGCTAGAAGGAACTTTTTCCAAAAATGAGTTTCTCTTAGCAGTAGTTTGAATAGGAGGTTTCTACCGGAAACAGTTGAACTCAGCGGTCCTGTACGTGTCTGCAAAATTTTACGAGGCTGGAAAATTTGTTTCGTCTTTAGTTCTGTCTCGCGTAGGAGAAGAATGAAAAAGATATACTTCTAGATGACCCCGTCAATCAATTAACCAATCAGATTTCTTGGAAGTGAAGATTCTAGGAAATGTTTTTCGTGACATGCAGTTGATGGAAGTTAGATGGTTTAGCTATAGCGGTTTTACGGAAACGTGGTGGAATGTTGAAGTGCAAAATATGATAATATTTGCTTTTAATGGAAATTTTACGCGCAGGAAATCGTCATGAGCTCGTTTAAGTGCATGGCACAATGTCGTGTTACGTAAACAAGTTTGGTCCTGGTGCAGGGTGCTCGATAAATGCAGGACAGGTATGAAAGATAAGCAATTGTTCTGTAAGGCGATATATGTTTAGCGCGTGACAATATTTTCCTTGTTCACGTTCAGACTCAAGACTGGTGTCCCATTCGACTAAGCGATATTGCTAAGGAGCTGGACATCTAAAGGGCCTTTCAGACTAGGGTTTATCTGAGTTAATGGAGGCAACTGACTTAGCCGACCCATCTCCAAAACCAGTTTTTCCCCATAGCGCAGCAAGTTGAAAAATAAGAACTGCACCCACAGCGGAGCTAGTCGACACATGGGAAGTCATTACTATCGTTCATGAGCAACTGGTATACCAGAAGATGTGTTAACGTTAGGCGTCCAAGTAGCTCATTAACAATCATCCGTGAGCATGAGATTGCACTTTATGAGGATTAACGAAGAAAGTATTCCGTTTCTGCACCCTACTGTTACAGGGAAGTAAACTCTGGTGCATCTTGTGACATCTGAAACGAAGCAAATGTCCACGTTGTAGAAACACCAATTATAACCTTCTTTTTAAAAAACTAAAAATAGCGCCTTCCGTGAGGAAATTATGGAGATGGTCTTTTGGGATTTCCAAAGCATATTACTGTTAATTTAATCCAATTAGACGCAATCACTATGACTCCTGATTTATTACTAAACTTCTACTGGAAATTACTGGATCACCCTCCTTATATCCCGGAATTAATACCTAGTGATTTTTATCGCTTCGCTCCTTTAAATAAGTTACGAAATTCACAATCGACACGGACGTTCAGCAGCCCGTCATGAGGTGGTTTTAGGGAATGGACATTAATTTCCTCTACTTTGGCATCGATGTTTTGGTGTATTCTTGGAACGTATGCTCGGAAAAGCGTGATGAGAACTTTGAAAAGTAATGTTTACTAATGATTGGCATTAAGTAATCGCCTGTGGAATAAAATTTGTCTCTAAGAGAGCTTGTTACCTTACTTTTTGAAATTCTTTTGTATTTTCACTTAATTTAAGAAAACTTTATATTAAAAAGACTATATGATTAACAGTTTTATAGATACTGATTTAAAAAGCTATGTTTGAGTACTAAAAAGGTAAAACGTTAAACAAATCATTTGTTTTGTGATCTAGGTTCATACACTGATTGTTCTGGAATGCTGGTTGTTCGTCAACAAGTGGCTGAGTTTATTCAAAATAGAGACAGTGTTCCAGCGTCGTATGAAGACATATTTCTCTCAAATGGAGCTACGGATGCTATAAGGGTTTGTACACATTTTTCTCGAAGTACGAAGTATTGGATTGTAGTTCACTATCATTTTTTTCTCATGATTGTTATCACTGAATAATGCTTGACGAATTGACATCCAGATAAAACAGCATTGCCTGTTATATAAGCGAAGCTTCTTAGCTCCTATATCTATGTTTTACAGCTGAATGTTATCGAATTCTACTTTGATTTTTGACAACATGAGGCAAATCTGGGCGTACAGTACTACTTCATAAAGATTTAAATAGTATTTCTCCCTCTTTTCCACATGTCTTCGATTGGAAGCATATTCGACGCGTATTCAAGAGGTGCAGGGTTCGATTTCCGGCGAGGGCACTGCACATTTTTTACGTCTCATGCTTCAAAATAACCTAATGACTCAACAAATGGCGCCCGAACTAAAAGTGATGGACAATAATTCGTCACCACCAGAATTTGGCGACTGGGACCCTAATTTCCATTCTTCCTTTAAAAGGGACAGTATAAAGATATTTTATCCCTCCTTTCCGCATGCCTTCGTGGTATTAATAGGAAGCGCCAAAGTCCATGTCCTGGGGAGGGCATTGCACATTTTTCATGTCTCCTGATCTGAAATAACGTAATGACTCTATAGACTGCGCTTATCAATTTGGGCAATGTAAGTCATTCTTTTGTCATTGTGATTATTCTGCGCTATTCTGCGAAATTTCAATGGGCGATTAATGTGAACCTTTAATTACAAATAATGGTCTTAGTTAGGTATAAGTTCTCGTCTACCCTACAGCTTTGGTCTTCTGAGTACCTGCATTTTCGACATTTTATCTATAATTTAGCTTTAGTCTTCTAACTGCCTATATTTTTTAACCAGTTTCATAGTTTTCTGATGATTTATCGAGTGAAACTTCATCGTCTGCAATGATTTCTTCAGTTTTACAACTTTCAACCTTCCTATTTTTCGCTAACCTACAGAATCTAATGCATGTTCATGATAAGAAATGTTGGTCATTCTTCAGAAATGCTTTCTCTATACTGCACATTACTAAACTGTTGAGCGCTGAACTTAAAATTAACTACCTTCAGCTACAATTTCACACGTAGAAAGTGTGAAATAGTACGTAGAAAGTGTCATGAACAAAAGTCTGCATAGCCATGCAAAATACGAGACTGTTTAACAACATAATACAAGAAGCTACTCAGATCCCCGATAAAGGACATTCCATATAGAGAGATAAGGAGCTGAACTTCGCTACTACGTATATGCTGGTGTTCATGGCTGTTCGCACTTATCTATTTCCTATCACGTAAGCATCGAATTCAATATTTGATCTTTTTTAATTTAGTAATTTTCAATGTCTAGCAAATGTGCACACTTTATTCTTGAAAGGACAATGTCCCTCACCGGGAACTCCTGAAATGTTTATTGGTCATTTAGTTTTCGTTCACCTTTCCAATTAAGCAGGTAGCGATAGGTGGCTGGTAAATGGTATTCATTCAAAGCAAAAAGCATTCGTTCATCGAGGCGCAGATGATATACGGTAAAAGAAGTTTTTAATTTTTTAAAAGGCATTTTACTCAAAAACAAACGGGAAAACGACGAACATGCAGACATGATATATATTCGGAATGATCTCAAAGAAATGATATAACGCTTTAAGAAAATATCGCCCACTTGTGGTCTATTTAGCCGCATAAGAAGGATGATTTCCCTCGGATAACTTCTGACCTAGCGGTATAATTATTTTTTTAGCTTTTCTTTAAAACTCCTATATGGGATACCGATACTACTAATGACTTAAAATACTTTAAAACGAGCAGAATAAAGTAATAATGTAGACTGCATGCAATTTTCTACTACAGAATATGCAGTCTTCATTAAAACTGACTACACTAAAGACTTCTTGATATAGAACCTATGAAAAGAACATACACTATTCAAAACGTTAATCATAAATATTACCATCAATCGACAAATTTATACAAAATGAGTGGTGCATAAACAGAATAATGTAGTCATATTTCTAATGCTAAGAGGTGCATCCTAGCACAAGAACAAAATACCGCTTTAACTAAAAACTTACTGGAGGGTATGAGGAACTGTAAGCTTTCTGCAGGAAAAACACCAAACTGCACCACGATTCATCATGAAATTAAGCAGATTATGGGGAAAAGCAGTCACCTTCGTCCATAAGCAAATAGTGCCAACAGTTCGAACATGAGTGCAAAGAATTGATTGATTCTGATTGGCAAAGGAAAGTTATCAATGTTGATCGCAAAACGCACTGTAACTAAAATTAACGGAGGTAATGTCATTCTCAGAAATTGCTCTAGAGTTGGTGTCTGGATGGATAATTTTCTAACGATGAACAGAACTATGAGACTAGAAGAAGGTTTTTTTTGTCAGGGAATACAGCTTTTTGTTGGTCATTTAGACAGGTGTTTACATGAAAATCTATTTGGGAACATATGTACTGAGATTGATTCATGTTTACGGCTTAATTACATAAATGGATCGTTTATAAGAAATTCTATGCCAAATGTATGAACGATTCCCTGTCTTTCTTTCGTTGAATAATTGTAAGAAGAGCTTAAAAGCTGAACTAGATCCAACTTTTCATCTAAAAAACTTTCTAAAGAATTCATTAAAAAATACCGAATATCCCGGGTGTTGTCTTGAGAACGTTTCGAGAGATACTATGCGCAATTGTCTATCGGAAGATGGAACGGGCAAGTCCATAAATAAAATCAATAATATGGTTAGTCTTTTTATTTCATTTTTTGAATAAAATGTGCCGTAGAAACAAAAACAAGAGGTAGATTTTGAATTTATATGCCCTATTGTTTGTGCATTCATTTTGACTAGGGTTTTCTAAGATCAGTTTACATTTATAAGAACAGCTTACATTTATTATTGTTGTTGGAAAATTTATAACTGTGTCTGGAATATGAAGAGAATCACATTCTCATTTCATTTTCAGTCAAAACTAAAATGAAATGGCGACACAGGATGAGATACGTCTTCTGTTTTTCTGATCCCTACTGTATTGTGTGTATGAAAAAATAAAAGGAAATGTTTGGTGTTAAAAAAATGAATGAATTTAAGAATTTTCATGTAATAATTAACTCGGTAATTTTAAGTTAATTGACAGAAAAGAATTTACTTCGAAAATGTTCATTATGTTCTCTATTTTTAAGTTAACATGTGCAAAAGAATAAAGCTTCGATCCTTTCCATCTAAGTTAACTGAAGAACCAAATAATATAACAAATATAAAAGAATGCATTAAAAGACGTCTGATTCTGTAAAACAGCTTTACAAGCAGAACCAGATCCTTCACTGACAGAATCACGACGAGTTTCTTCGAGGCAGAATAATGGGAACTGCATGCATGTATTTCGTGTTCTCAAGTTAAATATGTGGCACGCATTTCACGTCTTTTACTTAGCATATTATGAGCAATACTAATGTCTGATTATAGACATTAGATGACGTCTATTAATAAATTTTACACATCTAGTAATAAAATTTTGAACTATTTGTTTTCTTTTGCCAGACAAATTTCATACCTTCATGCATATTCAGGTGAAATTTCATGTCATTCTGACCACTGATGCTTTTTTATAGGCTTTTGAAAGTGGAAACTTTAATAATTATAATTACCCTGTATATAAGGGCTTGTATTTCAGCTTTTTGCCTTAAATAAAGAGATGTCTAGGCATTGCTTTGCTTATAATAAACAAGTGCTTTTTTACCTTTCGATTCCCTTGCGTACACTGATGAATAGATGTAAATTCTAACTTCCGTATCCATGCCTGATATGTCTTACTGAAAATTAAATTTTTATTTTGTATAAACATATCGATATAGTTTCCTCCTTTGGACTGACTTCCGTGATCTTCTAAACTTTATTTTTAATTCAAAAGTGTTTATTATTAACGCATAATTGCAGAAGTATTACTAGAACATTCATCATGAATAGAAAACTGGATAAATATAGGGAACATTAACAGAAAGCTATTCGTTCTATGTTCATGTCGCCGGAATTTCCGCGCAGGTGATAGGGAGATCGATTCTTGGAAATTAAACATAGATAGTGAAATACAAAAATACAGTGACTCTTAGATATTAACATTTGTCAGGAAGGCATCACTATAGAATAAAAGCCACCCATTTAGAAGGCGAACACTTTTCTTAACGTGAAGTAAAAAGCTTACTGCAGCGGATTTCGAAGCGAAAAAGGAAATACGTAAAATTGACATTACACCTTTTTAAATTTTTAACAACTTGGAAATGCTTAGCGGAAAGTTTTAGTACGCAAAATTTGAAGGGAACAATTTTTTTAACACCTGTTCTGTATATACAGCAGAACTTTTTTTAGAAAAGTTAAGAATAGGGCTGATTATATATTCCAGGTATTAGGTTCTGAAGGAGATTCGGTCTATTCACTAGCAAATTTCCTACCTTGTTATAGCTGTTTAATTGGAAGCAGTAATCTCTACTGTTGATTTTTCTTTCTCTCTTTTTTTTATTGCCTCGGATATTTTATATTAAATATTTGTTTGCTAGATCTTTTAGATGAATTTATAGAAATGAATAATATTTTTTTTTCTTTTTTTCACTTAAGGGTTTTTTATGTCTGTATTATGTTAATTTTATTAACATTTAAATTTTGAGTTAAACTTCTTTTCTGTCAAATTCGGTATTTAAACCGCGAAGTTCTTCGGTCTTAGAGAGTTACCAGGTATTCTGTCTGCACGCGTCCGCCATTTTAGGCTTCTCTCTGGCAAGCTATCATTACGCTCGGCCGTAGTTAAGCCCTTAATAGCTTCGCAGTCAGCTAGTGTTAAGGAGCTAACTCGGTTAGAATCTTGATAGCTTCGGCTATATCTCTTTAGTTTAGATTAGTTTTAGTTTACTTCTTAGCCTCTTAAGTTCAAGCCCAAGTGTCGGCTTTTATTGTACACTCCAAGACGGAGTTCTGTTAAACCTTATTTGAATAATAAAGGGTTATTTACCCTTTCATCTTGTTGTTTCTTGTCACACGAACTCAAGCGATTATTCGCTTATCGGTTCTTAAGGTTCTTCACGTTCAACAATAACGTAGCATTTACAAAGTGGGGAACTCTACATGTCATCAAACATATCTTCTAAGGTGTCTCTGGCATTCTTGACCATAGAAACGCAAGAATATCTGTTTTGAAGTACTGAATTCAAGTTACATTCATAATTCGAAAATGATTTGATTACGGGGATTTTATGCTTTTTCCTCACATATAACGGAAATACACTTCCTTAGTCTTTTTCTTGGAAATCTTTCCCGAAAAGATGTTCTATTAGAAAACCGTTAGCAAATGAATTTTTTTTTCGTGAATTAAATTCCATATATAAATTAAATCAAGCTGAAATCAAATAAATCCACAAAATTATGTTTAAAATTAGGGATTTTTTTTTTCTTTATGCTGTAAACACTTTTAAAAATTGCATATTTTTTAAATAAGAATATTAGTTTGCTTTAAAATCTTAATTGATGAAATAACACCTTTGTTGCACAGGTTGTACTTTCTTTGTTTAACAACAGCGCAACTACAAAACCACCTGGTGTAATGATACCGATACCACAATATCCTCTGTTTTCTTCAACTGTAGCGGAATATGGTATGTACCAAGTAAGTTATACTTTTCATTAACTTCTAATAACTTTTATATCATGTGATTGGACAAAGCCAAAGTTCATATTTGTTGGACAATTGGTCACTGTACTAACAATAAATTGAGTGTAAAATAGCATAGATCACAAGATTAAGCTTATCAAATCATTATGAGAATTTGAATTATAAAAGTATTTTCTGGGAACTGGCAGTAATTAAGAAGCACTGTAATGTTACTTTAAATTTGATGTTAGTTTGCATGTTAACAGGCACCGGATATCTAGTGCCAGTTACAGCAGAGCAATTGTTTCTAGGTAGCCAACACACTAATTTAAGATTTGGAACATAATTTCAAATTCGGTATAGAAAAACGTAAATTGTATTTTGTAAAACATGATTTCGATTTGAAAGTATTTGTTATTTTCTGACTTTCATGCTTTTATTAATTAACAAGGTCATACTACAAAATGTATGAACATGCAATGCATGAATAACACCAAGACGTCATGTATGAACAGTATTCATACGCTATTTCACGAATTATCAAATTACTATACGAGTAATGTTTTTATTATGTGGCAGCTAGCACTGATGGTGAATTTATTGAACTTTCATAAGACGCGATGTGGTTTTGGAAGAATTGGATTTAAATAACTACAATATTTTCTGACCCTTCTGAAAATATCCCAGATTTTTGGCTTGCGTAGCGGCAATTTTTTCGCCAAAAATCGCCGCTACACAGGCCAAAATAACAAGTCAAAGCACTGCACAAACTCGTTATCCATGTACCTCCAAAAGTCGCCAAGTTTCGGCAAGGGGTACCCTAAAATATACTTTTACCCTTCTTCCTTCCATTCCCCCCCCCCCGCTTTTGCAGCTGAGAATGATGGTTCGATAAAACCATCGAAACTAGTCCTGTGAAAATTTGAAAATATAGCGCTGATCTTTGTTGTTTGACTTTGTTGTTTTGACTTAAATTAGTACTTTTCGGCGCGTAATTGTATCATAATTATGTAGATTATAAGTTAAGTGGAGTGTTGTGCCACTTATACAAAAGACACTGTCTTGATCTGTATAGTACAATTTTTTTTTCTAGAGCAATTGGGGAAGCGATTTTATTCTTGGAATGCATGAGTTGAATGAAAGTGCAGATAGGTTTAAATGCAATGTTTAAATAAGAATGAGATAATGTAAACTGAAGCAATGTACCATGTTTGGAATTTTTCTGCTAAAGTCTTTTTCCTTCCAGATTTCTGAAAGAGCCTGAGCTGCTGAAATGCTATCTTTAAAGAAGATCCAGCACTTAGTATTGTAAAAAATTAGAATTGCGAATTGAAAAGATTAGAGTTGTGAATTGAAAATTAGAAAAAATTAGAATCTTATACAGTTAGAATTCAAGTTCTGAACGAGGTAGTTAAGGACCTTCTTTTCGTATGCTTAAATTCTGGCGAGAAAAAATGTAGAGTATCATTTAATTTTATAACCAGTTTTTTTATGTACCTTGTAAGGTTCTAGCTTAATTAAAGTTGCTTTGTGGCCTAGATCTTTACTTGAACTGCGACGCGACTATTGACTAAGTTCAACTGTATGAATGACAAGGCGTGCTAAGGGTGAAAAAAACCTTTTATTCCACTCAAGAAAGGATTTACAATCGGCACTCCTGGTGCTTACAAAACTCAGCCAGTACTTTTGGCTGTAACTCAAAATAGAAATTGAAATTGAAAACTAAGTTAAATAATCAGCTTTCGCCTAGTCTATTACTTGGAAAAAACAATGTAATCTACTCTTATCAGACTGATTTGCGCACAAGTCGAACGATCGTCGATAATATGCTCCACTGGAAACCTCCATTCTTAAAACTTTTCTCAACAGAAACCACTTAATCTCTATTTTCTGTGATATTGAAAAGGCTTATTGTAAGTCATGGAATTATGGAATTTTGCGTGATCTTTATGAAAGTGGCTTAGGCAACAACCTATCAATTTTCATACAAACCTTTTTTAAGGCTAGAAATTTTTAAGTAAGGTTTAACTCTGTGATAATTTCGAACAAGAAGAGGGTGTGTCTCTGGGGATGCGTATTAAGTGTTATTTTGTTTAACTTGAAAACAAATTCTATCTTAAAGGAACATCCTTCTACTGTTCAAGAATGATTGTACGTTGATAACCTCCTCATCAGTGATCAAGGTGCAGATCTGACACATACGGAAAGACAATTGCAAATTGCCCTTAACAGGATCGAGAAATGGTCAAAGAAGGATTTGTGTTTACGAAACAGAAGATTGTTTGTGTGCACTTATAGAAAGCGAGATCTCCATCCTGAACCTGAGTTACATCTTGATAGATCATTAATTCAAGCTGAATCTGAAGTGACGTTTTTAGGAGTGATGTTTGACTAAAATTTGATCTTCCTTCCACATATTCTATTGGTGGGGAAAAAGTGTTTGAAAATATTAAATATTATAAAAGCCCTCCCGAACGCGTTGCCCTTTGCTTCGCATTCATAGACCACTTGTCCGCTCTATAATGAAGTATGGCTCAGTCGTTTACGAATCCGCATGGTATTCATTTTTGTTGAAACTTGATCCTGTTCATAATTAGATTCTGCAGATTAGTTCTGGAGCCTTCAAAGAGTCTCCTATGCAGAGTCTGTATGTCGATTCTAACGAAATATCGCTTCAATTGAGACATGAGCAGTCGTCTCTTAACCATTATTTCAATATCTTATCTCAACTAAACCATCCCTGTAAACTATCCTTGCTCCATGCGATGTGTGGTCTTTTGGCTTGAAGCAAGACCATCTTGTGCGCCTTCTTTCTCTCTAAGATTTCGATGCATGATCCAAAAATATTACATGTTGAATATTTGCACCCAAAGAATAAACTGTTTTAGTAAGATCTATACTTGGGAGTATATGCAAATCCTATTTCTTCGTGTTTTACACCATCACACCAGAAGAAACACTAATAACACATGTAAATATAGCAGATATATTCTCCTATATACTGTTGGTTCAAAAGCAGATGATTATGTTGGAATAGTATTTGTAATGGGTGACCCCATGAAAGGCAGACGTTTACGTGATGCTTCCTTAGTTCTGACCTCTGAACTAATCCATATATGTGCACTTTCCTTCATACTTAAGCATTACCGGAAAGCATTTTGACTCATTTATTACTCTGAAATCTTTAGAAGCGTTTTCTGTTACGCAGAATACAGCGATTGTTTAAGTTCTAAATCTAAATTTAAGAAACCGTGGGTATCATATTCTTTACTGTTGAGTTTTCGAATAAGGAGAGATATTAGGAAACGAGCTAGCAGACGTCACAGTAAAGTCCGCCATTGAACTGTATAATAAATATTGTGCCTTGATAAGCAGATCCCGGCTAACCTTAAAGTATAGAATATTCGGAGGCTAATGGAGACCAGAAAGAAGAGGTTCTTTTAACTCGCCTTAGAATCGGTCGCTCTTGTTAATCATAGTTACCTACTAAATGTCCAAAGGGAGCCTTTATGCTGAAACTGTGATGCTCTTCTATAGGTGCATAATATTTTAACAGAGTGACCAAATTTTATCATCTTCGTCGAAAGTATTTCAATGTTTGTGACTTAACCTTTGACCATTTAACAGGAAAAAAGGTCAATTTTAATGCGTTCCATTACTTAAAACAGATAAAATTTTATTATTTAATTTGATTTTGTTTTTAAATACGTTTATAAAGTTCATTAATTTTTCTTTGGTATCAAACCAATATAATAACCATAAATAACCTTAGATAGACTGACTGGTAAGGAATTACCGCCAAGTCTGAAGTAACAATTGAAATTTGAGAAAGTGTAAAAGACTCTTTCATTTAAAACTAAAAAACAGAAGGCCTACTTGGTGCTTACAACTCAGCCAACCACTTCTGATGAGATAACTTAAAGTAACAATAAGTCAAATGCAAAAATTAAATTAAATAAGTTAATAGCCAAAACGTACATAGATCAATTAATGCGAAATTGGCACAAAACTTAATAATTATAATTCAAAGCCGAAGTCTAGAAATCTTAGCTCATCTAGCAACCTAATTACGTGACCTCGAGAGGTAAAACACGTTCTATTTTATAATCTAAAAAATCTCACCTTAAATACACGCAAACTAATTTGCATTCTGCCGAGAAAATGGAAAACATGACAATAAAGATCAAAACCATAAAATAGCTTGTTAATTAACATAACGGAACCTTAGGTCTTTATTGTGTTTTAAAGCTGTAATTTTAATAGTTGTCACATTACTTGTCGTTTTATCTAGTTCTATTCACCTTCCAGCTTTCATTCAACTCACCATTAGAACTATAATAAATAGTCGTGATTTTTTACTTGATTTGATTCACAAAGTGGAATAACACAAACATCTGGCGCATTATGGCCTATTCAGGCTATGAACCATGAATTTTTACATTCATCCTATGTTTCGTCTAATTTGTCGCGTCACGAATACTATTTAGATTTAAATAGTTTAAATATTAATTTTAGATTTGAGTCCAGAAATATTCCAAATGACCGCTTTAGAAATTATTTTGAAACAGAGAACAATCTGTAAAATTAATATGATTTTTAAAGAAATTTCTATGATATCCTCTTTGTGAAAATAAAAAATTGTATTCTTTATCAAATGCCAGCGCATTATCCTTTTAGTAAAAGAAACAGAGAAAAACGAGTTTTTAAACTAACAAATAACTGAAATAATGATATGGAAAATAGAATTTTAACCAACTGGGAAAATCCAAAAGATGAAAAAGACGTCGCAACTGAAGAGTTTACTTTAGAATATACAGACGACAATTGTTCAAAAATTAAAGATACTGTAGTTTTTAATGATTCTATTAGAATATAAAATGTAATAATTTGTCCTCATCTTAGGGTGTCCATTTTTGTATTTTTATTAGAAATTTTGAAATTTTATAATTATCCTGAATATGTCTTCGTTCTTTTTTTTATTGCATTTAAAAATGCTTATGAAAATTTGTAATAAAAAATTAATCTTTGATTTAAAAGTTGAGAATGAGAATCTGAATTCGTTAAAAATTGCTAATTTAGACGCATTTTTAATGTTTTATTGATTTTAAAACTTGATTTCATATAATTTCTTTGGATGTGCCCTCGTTCTACCGTTTAATAACTTACCTTTTCCAGATTTTGCAGGTAGATATTCCTTCACTGTCTCTTCAGTATCTACTTTCAATTGTGTCAGGCTTCAAGGTTTGTTGCTGTAACCTTTTCTTTTAAGATAAATGTATGAGAAAACTTTCGGTGGAGTTAAGCATGTAGGTACATCTCAATCGCCACCAGCCAGACCGGTGGCGTAATCACCGAGAAAATCGTTTCTCTTGTGAGGAAAACAATTCCCCGTCACAGCACCTGTCGAATAATACACGTTGCGTCTAGTTGTCGTAGATCAAGTGCTCTCCAATGTCTTACGACTCTCTTTTTACGAGAAGTAAGGATATTATTGCAGAAAATCATACTTTAAAAATTAATTGCTTTCTATATAGGGCATCCTGTGATATATTATAAAGTCTCGTATGCTTTGGTATCATAAACTAAGCTAGACTTTAGGAGATTGCTTAGGGAATTACCTATAAGTCTTAAAGTACGACAAGGTTAGGAAAAGGGTGTAAAAACCCCTAATTTAAGACAGAAGAGAAACACGCCTCAAATAAATCATAAAAGTGAAGCAACAACCAGAGGTAGGCGTAGATTTTTAGCATAGAAACTCTATCGATTTCGAGGGCGAACAATGTCCCTCTTCATCAGAAGCAAAGAACTCAAAGCCAAAAATCTGCCTTTTTCTTCTGTCTTGGCCCACCAGCGGCCGAGCGGTAAAGTCGCTGAACACTGGTAGTTCAGTCCGAGGTTCGAATCCCGCGAACGGGCTGGCTGCATGGGCGTTTTCGTGGTTTTCCCCATGTGCAACGTATATACGAGACAGTTTTCCTTAGAAAGTCCTCCACGAAGGCATCCCTCCCCCTTAGGCAGATAACCCTCGAGGTTTTGCCATAATAACACACACACACTTCTGTCTTGATTTTTGTTACCAACCGCCATTTTCGAAAAAATTTCGTTCAGCTTTGACCGTTTACCGGCTTGCGCCATTTTGTTCTTTCCCTTCGCCTTTCACGTGGTTGCTGTATATCTTCATTTTCTGGAGTTGGTGATTTCATATTTTTATTTCGTTTTGAACATTTTAACATCTTCTCTGAGGGCAGATTTCTTTGCCACTGATGAAGAGGAACTTTGTTCGCGGACAAAATCGATTAATTTCTATGCTAAAAATCCACGCCTAACTAAGGTTGTTGTTTCACTTTTATGACCCTTTATTTACTCAAATTAAAGTTCATTGATGGCAGCAAATCTTACATAGAAAAGCCAACACTTTTGGCTTAACCCTAAAAGATAACGATTAACTTAAAATTAAATGAAGTTAAGTTTGGCCTAACGGCTTCACAGGTTACTTAACGCGCAGGTTGGCTGTGACTCGAAAGTCGGCGTAAAAACGCCTAATGGCAAGAAGCGCTCGATGCTACAGAAATCTTATCGCTAGAGAAATCAAGGTTGCAACATGGCCTTCAGGTAGGCAAAACCTACTCTGAATTCACCTTCCAAAACCTTCCCTTAAATGCTCACTTCTTCGTACCTCATTTGAATACACGCGCGCTAGGTCATTCACATACTGGCAAAAAAGCGTGAGTTGAAAGCAAGAGCGACAGGAAAGTTTGCTTAAAAAAATGACTGTTAAGTAAATTAAACAAGCCCCCACAGTACATTCATTTCAAAATTGTAATTTTTTTATAAACTCATTTTTTTATATAGTAGATTCTGGTAAATTCGCACTTAGCAAGTTAAATTTCTGAAAATGCACTCCAGTGTGTAATTAAATAATTTAAAAAACATTTCTAAGCGACAAATTTGAAAAAAAAATGATAACTTTGCAAGACTTTTGGAAAATGTTCCCACCATGAATATTGCAATAAAAGACTCTGGGAGAAATGGAGTGAGAAAAGAAATGAGATTAGATTTTCTATCTTACAGTTTTAAAGCGCTAATTTCTATCTGTTTAAAACCGTATGTGGCCGGGCAGGAAATATCGAGTTTTAAATTCTGGGGTATAGCCACAATAATGATTATCTTTATTTATTTGACTGTTGTTTATAAGATATGTTACTGAAGCAAAGTATTCTAAAGCTATCTGCCATATCCTTTCTGTGTTTATATATAAACTTGTATGTGAATCCACTTCTTTTTGATCGTTTACGAAACTTAATATTTTTAGCTAGCTTTAACCAGCATGAAATACTTTAAAGATTTTTTGGATTAAAATGTCAGCGTGAGGTTTATAAAAAATAACGTTCATAAAAGAAATCCAATCATTCATTTATGAGCAAAACTTTCATGCATATTTTTAAGAACTTACTGTTAAGAATTTTTTCTTAATATCTTAAGAAAATTGCTCCTTTATTACCTTATTTCTTATTAGCTTTACTTCTGCATTCATAAAGAATACTTCAGTTCTTCTTAATGAGCATTTAGAAACGAGCAAGTGCATTAGCTGTTGAAATGCTAATTATTTTCTAAACTTTGTTCTTTCTTTAAAAATGTTCCGGCGTAATGAGCTTTGATCATTGTGCTTTAACTTAAATTTTTATTTATCAGATCAGTTATTACTTAAACGAAGAAAAGCAGTGGGCACTGGATGTTGAAGAGTTACAAAGAGCCATTAATTTATCTAAGCCATATTGTGAACCTAAAGTTTTGGTGATCATTAATCCGGGTAATCCAAGTGGTACGCATGTATTTTTAATATTATTTCAACTTTCAGTTTCATTTATTTTTAGTCAGTTTGTTCATTTTTCAGACTTTTCTTTTTTGCAGTTGAAAGTCGGCATTAGCTTTAAACAGCATTATGATTAATATATCGAATGTTAATCCACTTGAAAAGCATAGACAGAAAATTCAAAGAAGCGTTTGTAATGTTCTGATGAACCTGCATTTCATGTAGCTAACTGTTTATTCTCTACATGAGAAATTTTGAATTTCAGTGTTTGATGACTTCATAAGTGATACTTAACCTCTGGGAAAAATTATTTCTTTAGATTTTATCACTCATTGTTTATGAAAAAAAACAGTTGATAAAAATGCGTCTAAATCCTACTTCGATCTTCTTGGTAACTCCACATGAATCATTTACCTAGAATAACAGACTGGAAGTATGAGACAAATAATTTGATAAATAATAATGAATATGAATTAATATAGTCAGCTTTTCAAAACGTGTATTTATATATCAAATTTTCTTTCTTGAATAAATGCGTATGTTGCTATACTTTACCCATCATTTTTCGACCAGTTTTGTATCATAATTCAAATCACATGAACTTCTGCTAAATCATACATTGCCCAACCCTGTACTTTATTTTCAGGACATCGTTATTCCAGAAAGTAAATTTATAAAAGTTTGCATAAAATTAGTACTAATTTCAATATTTGTTTCCTCGGCTTTACGGAGAATTTTCACTATATTTCTCCAAGTAAGACTGTTGTTTTGGTTAATTATATTGCTGTTTAAGCTTATTTATTTTACCACAAACAAGGTGAAATGCATCAAGTGGTGTCTGATCGCACCGCTGAAAATGTTACACAGTTCTTCGAAAATGTCATTCATAATATGTAAATTTATATGAAATCCAGGAGCCCACCAGCGGCCGAGCGGTAAAGTCGCTGAACACTGGTAGTTCGGTCCGAGGTTCAAATCCCGCGAACGGGCTGGCTGCATGGGCGTTTTCGTGGTTTCCCCATGTGTAACGTATATACGAGCCAGTTTCCCTTAGAAAGTCCCCCACGAAGGCATCCCTCCTCTTGGGCAGATAGCCCTCGAGGCTTTGCCATAATCACTCACTTCGCATTTCGCTATATGAAATCCAGCATTTTCCACTTTCTGTAAAAGTGTTTTGAAATAGGATTGCTTAATTCTTCTTCTTTAAAATATTAAATAAATTCTTCCTAATTTTTAATTATTGCTTTCAATGCAACGTGTCTAGATAACCACCCAATTTCATTCAATTGTTTAAAAGTAATAACTTCATTTTCTAAAGCAATAGCAATATTTCGAAATTTATTTCAATTTCTTGCAGATCTAGAAAATACCGTATAAATCATTCTCATCAAAATTTCATCTTTTCAGCTTTGATTTCTCTTTAACTGCTTTTGAAGCATCACAAATATCCAAATCTTCACAATGTGTAACATAGTGCTGTTGAATCAATTGAGATGTATTTTCTTTCAGTTTTGCTGTTACTCCATTTATTTGGCCTAGCATAACAGCCGCCTCATCAGTAGTAGTAGATATAACCAATTTTTTCTCTATAAAATTCTTTTATTGCAGAAATGGAAAAGTGTCACAAGATTTCATTTGAATTATTCCACCAAAAATAGTTTCATACTGGTTATTCTGGACATTTATATTTAAAGTATAATATTAAACATTTGGCGATAGAAATTTTAATACTTTTATTGACAGTTAAAGTGTGAAATTTATATGTCTTGAATTCTTTTATCATGTCGGTTTTTACCACGGAATAAATAAATTCAAAACACGGGAAAGCATAATGCTTACTTCGCCAATTTTCTGGAAATTTAACATATTTTGCCTTATGATCATTTACATGCTGGAAAGAGCGTAAGAAATGTTCATTTTAATTGATCATAATATATTATAAATTAATATTTTCACTTCTTACGAATGAATTTTTTATTTTGATGTCCATTTTGGATCTTACTTACTGTATCATATACTATAAATGTACTAATCATGTTACCGGTAGCAAAAGATTTTTTGAATCTTAACCTTGTTACTCTATCCACATGCGATTTAACTTTGTTCGTCAAAACGTATGTATATGAAGCATACAGTATATGAACGTAAAGTACCAATGCATAAACACATATATCGTTAGCTACACTTTCGGACGACGTACCACATGCTGGTTGCTGTTTAACAGCATGCACTTTAATTACTACATTGGGAAACAGAGAAAGCACACCAGTACCATTTCCTACAGTTGTATGACGCAACGCAAGTGCGCATTAAGTACCAACGAATCCATAACTAACATATTTAAAATGATTAATTTTAAAAGTAATGTAAAAATTTAATCGTTATTATTACTCTTATTTTGATTAATGGTGTGTCCGTGTGTTTGTTAAGTTTCTTTGGGTGTTAAATTTTTGAAAGGCGTGGGCCCACAGTTTAGAGGGAACTTAGAGAGAACTCTGCGTACGAGTTATACATATAGTTCTCATGAAAGACTGGTAATTGCTGTATCTAAGATACATAATTATTTTCTTAGCAATATATCTTTGACTATATGCATTTTACTTGCACTTTGATATAATATTATACATAGGATCCATTGTATTAATTGAAATATGCGTCATATTTTCCGATACAATATATAATATATTAATAATGTGGAATGTGAGCCTTTTCTTACAATCGTTAAATTCAGTATCGTGAAAATATCGCCAGCTCATTTAGAGAGAAGATTTTCGATATCATCTAACTGATATTTCCAAACTCAATGGCACGTAATGAATGACTCTTACGAGTGTAAGCCTGAGAAAAAAGTTGAAAATTTCTTCCCACAGGTTTTTGGACATACGTTTCAGACTCTCACACTTATGTATTCAAGAATAATTAAAATGATTAGTAAGTTTACATCTTTATATTTGCAGGTTTTGTTATGTCGCAAAATGATATGCAGAATGTCATCAAATTTGCTTATGAAGAAAACCTTCTCATTTTAGCAGATGAGGTACGTTTCTTTGCTTTTCAGGATTTAACTTGCATGTGTTTATTCAATTCAGAGTGTCTTTAATTAATTTTGAGTTAAATATTTTAAGAAGCCTCTAATTTTTCTCCAGGTATACCAATATAATGTTTATGATTCAGATTTAAAGTTCTTTGCTTTCAAGAAAGTCATGAAGGAAATGGGTCTTCCATTCAGTAACATCCAACTTGCATCTTTTATGTCTGGGTCCAAAGGATACATGGGAGAGTAAATTCATGTTTATGCCCATAGATTAAATTTATGTAACGCATGCTTTAATAAGAGTTATGTTTCTTTCGTATTAATATTTAAACATTTTAGATTACTTTTAATAGAGATTTAGAAGTTCAAGCATTTAATGCATTAAAGTAAGCGACTCATATAATCTGAATGATTCAGGATAAATCGTAAAATATGTTTCTAAGTTTCGCTTATAAGAAATAAGTTAATAGACAATGAGCAGAAATAATGGAATAAGATGGCATTAGCTGTAATAACCGACTTCCTCAAAAAATGCTTCTTTTCTGCAACCAGCATAAAATTTTGTGCAGTTAAAAGAAAGCATTTATAAAGTTACGTTCACACCGATCCGTTAGCGCGAAAACGCTAACGTAACGAAAGTATCGAAACTCATCGAGCGAGCTAGCATTTTTCTTTCATAACTTGGATCGAAGTCCATAAGTTGCAGCTCAGCAACACAAAATATTTTCTGGAAATGGTGGAAAATATAAATTTGTTGCTAATCAAAAATCACCAGATCGCTCTCAACTCTTAATTATGTAAGTTCATTAATCTTTGCCACCACTACTTCATTAAAGCTGTATCCATAACTAATACCAAAGGTTTCATCAATACCTGTAAATTGCTGGTTTAATCCACAAAATTCATTTGCGCCATGAAAACGTTCTTTCCATACAGCTTTCATATTCTTTAATTGTATTTGTTTTATGAGGTATTTCTCCCACCTTCCTAGCGTGCCTTCGTGGTGTAGTGGTTCTGCACGTTGGGTCGGTATTCCAGAGGTCTGTAATTCGATTCCAGGCGAAGCCGTTTGCTCATTTTTCATCTTGCCTGCTTCCAAAAAATCCTAATGTCTCTACAGTTTCACTAATTCTCAGATAATTTCAATATGTAATTCAAGTACATATTTTACCTTGACGTTGTGTCAAAAGCTGGTTGTGAAATATGGACGTACTCGTGTTTAGCATTTCTTGGATAACTCGAAAAACGAGTTAAACGAAGTTTTTTTCAATACTAGAAGCCTGTATGTACCCTAATATTGCAACACTACACACTATCAATATTAATAATATTATTAACGGATGTCTTCATAATAATATAAGCATATACTACCTGGTACAACTCTGACATACGCCCTAATTTCACCAAATGTGGGTTTCTGCGCTGGTTTTTGGTGCGATTGCGTGTTGTATGGCAACCCTGTTGACGTTGAAAAATCTTTCGCTGGAGCTCGTTGGTTTGCGTCATGCTCTGTGTCTGAGAAGATAGGGGGGAAAGATAAAATGGTGGAATTTGTTGAATTGAAGTTCTGCAAAAGGAAACATCATCGTGGCCATCCTGTTGAGGGGCAGTGGGTATTTGGAGGTGTAGAAAGGTCTGGGAGATTATTTTTAGTGGCTGTGCATGATAGAAGTAGGGATTTGTGATTTTATTTATTTGTGAACCATAGTATGGTTTGCTTTATTAAGATTACGGCAAAACACAATAGGGCTATCTGCCTAAAGAGAGGGATGCCTTCGTGGAGGATTTTCTAAGGAAAAACTGACTCGTACACAAATACACATGGGGAAAACCACGAAAACGCCCATGTAGCCAGCCCGTTCGCGGGATTAGAACCTCGGACCGAACTACCACTGTTCAGCGATTTTACCGCTCGGGCCACTGAACCATAGTATGAATTTTCTGGATAGTGTGTCTGGCTATCATATAAATACGATAGTGATTACGTGGCGGCATGTTAAAGGCGGTATGAAATTAGTATATCTGCTGTTCGAAAAAGCATTAATTCATGGTAAGTGCATTTTTATTTTTTTCTTGTTTTTATTTTGTAGAATATTATGTTCATTGTTTTTTTTAGTATGCATTTCTGTCGTTATTGTTCTTTTGAATTGTTTGAAATTTTATTTTAGCTATTTTAGTTTATTTTGTTGATTAGTGCGTAGTGTCTATATTGTGCAATTCGTAGATGTTTTTTAAAGTTGAACCATAACGCTGTGTACATGGTATTCTTTGAAATTTATTGTTGTTATGTTAATTTATTAAAGCGAGGTGTGCGTAGTTCGTAGATTCGCTCGTTGCCTAGATTTTGCCATTCGTAGATTTTTTTTTTTTTTTTTTTTTTTTAAGTTAAAACATATCGCTGTGTACATGGATTCTTGTCAAATATTTCTGGTTAGAAACTTTACGTTTTTGCTATCTAAATGTTTTGTTTTTGTTTCGGATTTTTAGCTTAAATTGTGTGGCCAAAAGTGGTTTTTGCATGTACGAAAACCGCGTTTTTGGAGACATTTTAGGCTTAAAGTTCGAAATATAGACAAAAAATTTAGATAATAATATGGCAGCGTGGTTGGCGAGAAATTTGGCGACTTGAGGGCGCATATCAGAGTAATACCTGCTACATTTCGAGGAACATTATGCACAGAATTATGTGAGAAGATATTTGCGGGATTAACCGAAACAATCATTAATTCAAATTTAAGTTCTAAAATATGGGAATTAGGCAACAAATTGCTTCTAAAAGTTTGGGCTCCGACCTTCAAGGTACACGAGCAAATATGGCTAGCAAAAATTAAAGCCGATTCAAATAAACTCAGAAACTGCTAGAAGATACATAGGTTCGTAAGGGTAAACAGTCGCTACCATATAAACTCTCTCATTACCATGACATTTATTAATTTGCATTTTCTTGGCACTAACTAATTTGCATTTTCTTGGCACTAACTAATTTGCATTCTGATAGGTTTCGAAGTGTCAGAAAAGGAAAAAAATAATAAGATAACTGGTTAATAAACGTAAAACCTTACAAATGAAGCCAAATTTTGCATGTTTGAAAACATCTTTCATAACTAAACTGTATTGAAACATTCTTACCGTGAGATCAGCACGGGTTCATCAGAATTAGCGAGATCAGAGAAATAATGAAAGAAGATTCCTTGATTTGACGAATTTTTATTTGTTCCCCATAAAAGCTGAGCAAACAAATCTGTAGTTAGCGAATATTTTATTTCAGTTCAATGAAAAACCTTTACTTATAAATACTTTCTTCAAATAACATAGTGCTTGGATCACACCTATAAACTAGGAGCTTATAAGAACTAAACTTCAACTGAATAGAAGAAATGCAACTGCATTTCAACTGAATAGAAGAAATGCAAGAAAAGTAACCATGTCAAAATTTATTTATAGGTATTGCCATTTTAAACAATATTCAGTAAATATGATTTTTACTGCGATACGAAATATATTGTACTTTGTTTTCAGAGTGTTTCTCCTAAAGCAGGTAATAGTAAATTTCAGCCTTATAATGTTATTATTTGGCAAAATTATGGCCATTAAAATGTTATATTTTTTTACAAAGCTTGGGTTTAAATTAAAAAAAAATCTTTTGGCCGTTAAGTAAAAAAGGAAAGAACTTTTGGGAAACACCCAGTATCGATTGAAAAGTTTCTGTGAATTCTCTGAAAGTGCAAACTTCTGTGTGTAACTTTCTTTCTCGATACGCTAACAACCCTAGCTGTAAAAGTGATATGTAGATGTTTTCATTAATTAATTTCTAACTAACTGAGATGGTTTACAGTTTCGCTTTATTTATTTTCATAGAAATCTTTATTATTTGCCTAAAGAATTAAAAACATTAACCAACGACGAATTAAATTTGTTGCAGAATTTTTTGAAAAAAATGTTGTTAGATTTCTTTGCTCTTATTTCAATCTACTTAATTTCTTAGTCCATTTATTCTTCAGTACTTAAGAAGAAATGATTCTGAATCTAATTGATATTCATATTTTCATAAAATCAACATGCTGTCTTATCTTTTGATTAATTAAGCTTTCTTTTTCTAGATGTGGAACAAGAAGCGGATATTGTGAAATTGTGAATCTTGATAATGACGTAAAAGAAATATTAATGAAATTACTATCTGTAAGATTAAGCCCAAATTTGCATGGTCAGGTATGGGAGATTTTTCTTTATGGTTGTACTAAATAATAATCATTCATGAAAAGTAAATAATATTGCCTAAGATATATGAAACTGTTCAAATAAAGTTTCCTTCAACGAAAGAGTAAAATTATTTTTAATGAAGTTTAAATGAAGTTAATTTATTTTTATTATTTTAAGTCTATTAATCTCGAAAGAAGATTTTGCGTTGATTCTCTTTAAATGCATTGTTTCTTTTCTTATTCCAGTCTGTTGCATTCGGTAATATGTGTGATATTTAACTTTCAAATTTAATACGTTTGTTACTGATTAATAAATTAAGCTATTTAAAATTAATAGATGCAGTTCTTAAGAATATTATTATTGAAGTATTATGGTACAGCTAATTAAAAACATTAAATATTTTATATAACTAAATTGTATATTCGTTCACTTTTCAAACATACAGAAGATGCATAATTTTCTCCTGTTACTCTAAATGCATATTCCTCTAGTATCCTACGTAATCTTTCCCTATTTCGCCTGGGCCAACTCTATTGATACTCTCTGCTGATAAACCCTATTACACATTACATGAGACCTTTTTGGCAACTGCTAAAATCTGAATATTTTCAGATTTTTTAAATTTTTATTTTTTAATATTATTTCAATCATTCAAACAAAATTAAGTTTTTATTACGCATAATTTTCTTCACGTTTTAAAATGGCATTTTTGATGAAACATTTAGCCACCTATAGGATTCGCAAAGGGCATTCGTTAAAAATTCAGAAGTGATGTAACTTTCACCTCAGAAGCATCAATAAAAACTTTAAGGAATATATATTCTAAGGATTAAGTACATAAAGGATAATAAACTTATATTATACATAAACTTTTAAATTTTCGTACAGTACAGCACATACATTTTTCTAAATATTCGTTCAACAATTTGTGTCTATAATTTGGATTTTAATTATATTCGTTTAGGAACATGTTTTAGAGTAGGCAAAATGTTCAAATAACTAATTAATATAAAGAAAGGAATTCCCCTTGGGGTCTAGAAATTTGGAAGCTCATTGCAACACTTGTAGAGGCCACGTACGAAGATGCGTAGGAATGAAATTATAATACTGATAATAGTAGCAAGTGAATATTTAAACGGTAATTATTGGTAAATTCAGATTAACTTATATTTGTTTTGACACATCTTTACATTTTTAGGATAACCTCATGATTACGAATTATAACTAGTTTCCTAACTTCATCACCTGATAGAAATCACTTGTTTTATTTCAGTTGAATATCAACCCATTGTAAAAGTAAGATGAAAGAAAGCGAATTTTGAAGTGCAAATCAAGTTGCGATTGTCCAGTTCTTGATGTATCAAAAGAAAAGCGGAAAGTTACAGAAGGGTGCAATTACGTTAGATGCAAAACAGTTTAAGTGCAACAGAATGAACCATCAAAAATTCCGAAACATGCTTCCAAAAATAATTGTCAAGGCGAATCTTATGATAATGTCGATTCTTTGAAAAAACAAAACTGTTGACGTAAATGCAAAGATTATGGAGGAAAAAACTTGGACGTATTCCTCCTAGCCGAAGTGTCACCATAAAAGCAGTAAGCATAGCCTTTGATAATATTTGTCCCGAAATACTGGATGATACGATTCTGTCACTTCGACAAGTTATGCTGGAAGTAATGAAGCATGAACTGTTTCAATAATTTTAAGTTCATGCATATAGGGAATATCGCAGCCAAGGGATCCTACCTACAAGTTTAAAATGCAGAAACGAAATTATTAAAAAAATCCAGAAACTATCTGAGAACTCAAAAATAAAAATTAGGAGCGGTATTTTTATTTATTCTTTAATTTAATTTAGGTTTTAGGTGATGAATGTTGCATTCTCTATTTATTTTCTGTTGCTACTATTACTATGGGACAAATTAAATTCATCAGCTGCTACTATTACTATGAGACAGAAGCAGAACGACATTTACTGTTGGACGACATATACCGACATTTACTATAACCGTTTACTACACTGTAAATGGTTACAAGAGTCGTACGATTTCGCAAATTAATTCGTTAACAACTAAATTTGTAAAAGCTTTTTTTCTTAATAAGTTTCTTTAAAATTGTAAAAATCAGTCATGGATTTTTTTTCACAAAAAACATCAATTACCTTTAGAAATTACATATTTTTTTCGCAGGTTCCTAATTGAGAATCATGGTAGTTACAAATAATTTTTATGACATTTTACAGAGTACATATGAAGAGTATATATGAAGTATAACATTTTGTTTATTGCATTATTTCCAAACCTACGTTTTGCACAAGGCACAGTTTCTTTTTTTTTTTTCTTTTTTTTTTTTTTTTTTTGCTTCCCTTTTTGAAATATATATTCGCAAATACGTACAAAATTGCAAGGTGCAAATGAGTTGCCAATTATATTTACTAAGAGGGAAAAGCGTTTTATACTATTAAATTGAAAATTAATCCAGTAAAATAATTACTGCAATATATGAGGTGGGTTAAAAATATGGTTATATGTTTGATGTTATAAGGTATTGGACTGTATTCCGCTAATGAATAATTTTATTCTTCTCCTCAATATATACAGAAAATGCCGCTAGAGGGCTGAGGTGCGTAGGTGTAGCTGATGACGTAACATATACACCCCGCGTTCAAATTTCAATTTCAAATTTGCATTTACATTACAGTTCAACATTTACATAATTGACAAATAAATACACATTTTCAAACAAATAAGAAGATTAAGTGAATAAAGTCAAATATGAAAAAATATAAAGATATACAGATGCAATTACACTGTTATAATCAATGCAAAATGGAAATTCATTCCTTCATTGGAAGCAAACAAATTTGGCGGGGAAAAAGCTCATTATCAAATATCCTTGTTCAAATATCCTTGTTCATTAGATTATTCAACCTCTTTATTTCTTAATTTGAGCCAACAAAGTATCAGAATATAAGCAAGAAGATTTTCATCGTCTTGCGAAGAAGCGTTTTAGAGCTGCAATTAATGCGGCTGTAGATAAATCTGTTACTAAATCTAAATGAGTAGCCTTAATGGCGAAGCATACAAAGATAGAAACATAATTTTTTTGAAATATGTCCTTGCGTTGACCCTTGTATTTAATCAAAAATGGGTCGCAGAAGTCGATTCCACAGTTATAAAATGGAGGACTAAGGTTAACTATCTCTGCAGGTAAGTTTCCCAAAAGCTGCTCAGAGGATCTGGGTTTATTTTTAAAGCACGTTATACGTTCATTTACAATTTTTCGAGCTAAATTTCTTCCTCCTATTGGCCAAAATTCCTGCCTCACGTAATGTAATAACGTTTGAGGACTTATATGTAAATATCTTATATACAGGGATTCCATTATAATTTTAGTAAGTTTGTGCCTAGAAGGCAAAAGTTTGAGATGCTTTTTGTTTTGACCAAAAGTCTGTATTTTGTAAACGTCCACCTACACGAAGAATCTTCATTCCTCATCCAAAAAGGGGTTCATATTACTTAAATTACTATTCTTAATACTTTTGTTCCTCTTTAAACAAGAAATTTCTTCACAAAACTCATTGCTTTGCACTAATCTTACCAATGCGTCTGAAGCTTGGTTCAACTCTTTTACACTTAACTTACCCTTTCTGAGATCCCTGGGATGTTTCATGTTATGAAAAAAACATGTAAATAAAGCTTAATATTCTACAAAGTTTAGTGAAATTATTACTTAAAGATAAAAAATTACCAATAAAGTCACAATTTGAATTAATTAATAAAACTAGTAAGCCAGAGTGTTTTAGTTCTTTTTCAAAGTTCTCATCTTCTGGTGTTGCACAAGCACCTGGTACTGGAAGGTAAAAAGTCACCCAAGGAGGGCCACTCCACCATAAGGAATTACTCAAAAGTTCTGTAGCTGAGGTACCTCTGGAAATGGTGTCTGCAGGATTACGATTGTTGGAACATACCACCAGTCAAAATTTGGACACAAAGAATTCAGTTTAACCCGATTAGACACAAAGGTTTTTAATCTTTCAGGAGACGTCTTGATCCAGGCTAACGCAATCGTTGAATCACTCCATAGATAAATATGGTTGAACTGGATTTGAAGAATTACAAGCACCTTTGCCACAAGTCGGGCCAAGAGCAGCGCCGCTGACAGTTCCAGCCGCGGAATGGTTAGAGCTTTAATTGAGCAAACTCTTAATTTGCTGCACAGTAAACTTGTTTTCACAGCTCCGTCTGTGGCCTTTGAGACGATATAACTCACCGCACCGAAAGCTTTTTCGGATGCATCGTAGAATCCATGAAGATCAATAATGATGGCTTCAGGTATAAGAATGAATCTAGGAATTTCTAATAATTTATTAATTTATGGTAGCTGCTTTAGAAATTTTAACCAAACTTTGAACTCACTTGGTGGAATGGGATCGTCCCAATTGAATTTATTCTTCCACATTTCTTGAAGAAATATTTTGGCCTTGTTAATAACTGGACCGACAAGACCAATGGGTCGAAGAGTCGAGTGATGGTTGAAAGGACTTCACGTTTTGTAAACTTATCGGACAACTGTTCAGATATCTTAAAATTAAAACAATCTGACGAAGGTCGCCATAATAAACCAAGCGTCTTAACTGTAGGTTGATCTGATGAGAATATGTATTCCTCGATTTTACCATCATTTTACCGTCTGGATTATTCGAAACCCATTTATGTAATTCCATAGCTCCTGCAGCTAACAAGGTTTGTAACTCAATCTGCAATTTCTTTGCTTCTTCTAAGTTATTAGATCCGGATAAAATGTCATCAACATATGGGTCGTTAATTAGTACCTTCGATGTCTGAGGAAATATCCCTTGTTCATCCTCCGCTAATGCTCGCAGTGTTCTAGTTGCTAAAAATGGAGCACAAATGTTCCATAAGTTACTGTTTTCAATCTATAAGTTCTCCACGGGAGCAAACAGACTCGACTTCCACAATATCCGTTGTAAATCTCTATCACATCCATCCACTAGTATCTGACGATGCATTTTCTTGATGTCTGCACTAAATGCGTACCTATGAGTGCGAAATCTGGCTACAGTAGAAAAAAACACTTGCTGTACAGTTCCTCCATTTAACAGTATAGAATTGAGAGAAACCCCATTACTTAGTTTAGAAGACGCATCAAAGACGACGCGGAGGAGAGCTGACGTACTCTCAGGACGAAAGATGGCATGGTGGGGGATATAATATTCTATATTGGAATACTTATCGTCTCTAATTCCTTCCATGTGATCAAGGGACAGATATTTATCCATAAATGCCTTATATACTGTTACCATGGTTTTATTTTTATCTAATTTCTTCCAAAGTAAGTTTAATCGCATTTCTGCTATTTCCTTCGACGTTCCCAACGTCGGCAGTTTACATTCAATTACTGGTAACCTTACAATATATCTTCCATTTTCAATTCTCTTGTGTGTAGAAATAAAATGCTCCTCACAGAATTGCTTTTCAAAACTTTTTTTCACTTACATGTTTAGCGTGATTTAGGACCAGGACAGGATTCTAATTCGAAGAATTGTGTGACAGATTTATCCAAATTATCATCTTCTGAAATTAACCCAGAAAAATGATAAGAATTTGAATTTTTAATCGAACCTGTCACTAAATAACCAAACACACTATTTTGTAACATTAGTGAACCATCAAATGACCTGAATCTTTCTGCTTTTAGCAATTCAAAAAATAATTCACACCCCCAATAATACATAAATTTTGCTAGGCATATAAAAAATAGGATCTGCTAATTTAGTTTCCTTTGGGAAATCTATTTTAGAAATATCAATTTTATTTGTAGGTGTAAGCTCCGTAATGCGAGGTAAATTTAAAAAGGATAAAGTCCTACACCAATCATCATCTTCATTTGAGATTTTTGCAGTTGTTTTGTTTTTTACAAAATATTCGCCTCCACTTATTCCCGTTATGTTTGTATTTACGTTTTTGCTTATTCAGTTCCAAAGCATCAGCCGCTTCAGTAGTTAAAATATTGTAGCTGCTTATTCCAATATGAGGCCACTATTCCTTTTAATTTTACTTTTTTCCCACATGTAGTTTCAATAAATAATGATCTTTACACAGCCACCCTGTTTGTTTACATTTGCTGGTTAATATGATGCCTAATACTTCCGCAGACTGTTGCGCAATTGAAACAGATAGGAAATCTTTTTCATTCTTCTCGGCGCCAATCGCCAATGGCTCATTTGAAAAAGTCTGAGAAACTTCGGGTTTTGAATCAATATGAATTAAACTGTTATGATCGGAATTTTTACAGATTCTACATATAAAAGTTGACTTGCATGGTTCTTTATGCATTTTAAAACATACGTTGCACAACTTCGATTCTTGAATTATTTGATTACGTTTTGAGACACTCATTGTAAGGAATTTAGAACATCTGTGTAAAGAATTTTTACGCGTTACAGAGAATACATGGTTTCATATTTTTTCTCGCTGTACTTACAATTAAATTCTTAGGTTTTATATTCCCTTGACCTGAAATAATATTTTTAGGCAGCACTAGTTACTGATCAGTGTCTCTATACAAACTTTCTAATACTATAAAGTTCTGTTTTCCAGAAAGCTTAATAATTCATCCAAAGCGGGTACTTCTTTTGTTTTTAATGTCAACTCGAATTGTTTACGCGTTTCCTTATCGATTTTTGAAGCAATATATTCATTAATATAGCATCAGATAAATTACTGCGTTCAAATTCCAAAGCCTTTAATGCGCGCAAATTATGTTTTATATTATCCAACAAATGATGTAATTCCCTGGGGGATTCATTGTTGATTTTTTTCATGATTTAATATATTTTGTATATGAGTATCAGCAATTGCTCTTTTATTTCCAAAACGAGCTTCTAGAGCTTTAAGAAGTGAATAATAACTATCATGATCTGTTTCTATTTGTTTTGCTTCTCCTCTTAGGTCGACCCTTAAATAATGGAAATGTTGTAAATCTCTAAGTTTATTATTATCGCCAATTAAAGAAACGAACTGCTGTTTAAAGCTACTAAAGTCTTCATAATTTCCCGTAAATATTGGCAGTGGAATTTCAGGTAATTTTACGTTACAGAAAGTTTCACTTTCATTATGAACTGATATACCACCATCTTTAAGTTTTGAAGTATTACTTAATTTAATCGTTGAAAGAAGGTATTTAATTCTTACCTCCACATTATTCAGAGATAAGTCCAGCTCTTCCATACTTTTCAAGCTTTCATCAATATCTAGCTTTTCACCAACGCTGCAGTAGTCGTTGTAGAGGTGAGTCATGCCAACTTTTAATTCCTTGACTTTATGTAATTTAACATCTAATTCAAGAGAACTTCCTTCGGATTCTTTGAAGTTATTCCCGCACTTGTTCAGTTTTGTGATTTTGCTTTTTATAACGCCTCTTTAGCGATTTAGTTGCGTTAATTTATCCATTTTATTTTTGCCGCTTTGAATGGACACTGATCTTCATCCTCGACGAACCACTATTTATGGACTGTATTCCGCTAGTGAATAATTTTATTCTTCTCCTCAATATATACAGAAAATGCCGCTAGAGGACTGAGGTGCGTAGGTGTAGCTGATGACGTAACAGGTATTATATGTTAATTAGCCAAGAAATATGATTTAAACTTTTAACATACCTTCTTTCTGTAGTTCTCAACAGAATACAAATTAGTTGTTTGTACATTTAGATTGTGGGTTTGAATTTTTAGATGCTAGCTTTTGGCAGCCTCATCTTGCTGTTACTTAGTATCTCCCCTTTTACTAAGTTTTATTTCGTCTTTAGCATTTTGATAGCCAATGTTCAAATATATGCCGTTAACTATCTTGGGCCAGCTTAAGTAGTCTATTTTGCGTTGTAATTTCGGACTACGTTACTTAGATGTGAATTTGACTTTATCTTATGTTAATTTAAATACCCACAAGTAGCGGAGGTTCATCTGTCGCATGAGCAGTGCCTTTCTGTTTATTTAAGAGTTATATAAAAAAGATTATTTTAACATTCTTAATTCTTGGTCCTTTGTTTTATATTAAGCGACAACTTGCTTCCAATCTAGTAGAGTCTGAAGGGTATTAGCGCAAGTTTCTAAGTACAGTAGAATCCTACAAAGTTACTCGTTTGAAGGTTGTTACTATATGGAGCGGTGAATAGTATAATAAGGATGCAAAAAAATGGTGAATAGTACATTAAACTTGAAGCTTGTACCTTTAATGTACTATTCATCACTCCATATAGCAGTAACATACCACGTTTACTTTAAACGTGTAACCTTTTTTTTTTTTTTTTTCATTTCGAATAAGATTCACGCATTTGAGCTTATATCAGAGTTATATCAATTCAGTGCCATTTGTCTTTGATGATTTGTAGTGGAAAATATTCAGAAAAGAAACCTTTCTAAAAGCACTCACATTAGAACCGCTATCGGTAAGGATTCTGAAAGCCTTCGAAACGAAGAGCCGATTGTGGCAATAAAATGATCCTAATCGGTAATCTGCATCTTTCTTCAATTTGAAGATATGAGTTTCCATTGGCACTATTTCGCTTCTCCTAGCCATGATACTGTCATCACATGATCCAGATAAGGTTTTAACCATATTTTTGACTCACTCTGTACGCAACATGCGCAATCTTGCTGTTGTTTCTTTAAATGTAATTTGCAGTTATGAGCACATAAAGGTCCTCAAAACATTTTATGCAATCAATGAAGTATTTAACGCTTAATAAGCGAAATATTATTGCTTTCGTTTAAGACCAAATATGTTATAAAGCTATGATACTTGTATTTTCTAGATAATTATGTACTGCATAACGAATCCACCGCAACGAAATGAGCCTTCCTATGAGCTTTTTGAACAGGTAAATCCATACATTATTTTATAAGTAAATTATATTAGAAATATTGTATGTTTACAAAACTTAGGACTGCATAAATTTTAATTCAACTAATGAACAGTAGCAAAGCAGTATTAGGAGAATAAGGTTTTGCATGTAGTTACAATTTTTCCAATGTTCTTAGTCAGGGATACCCAGCATTTTTATTGCATCGACCCCTTTTGAAAGAATGGTTTTTGTAAACTATTCTGAGTCCACCAGTTCGGTCAGGCTTGACGAAAACATTGTAACACGATGAAATAAAAGATTCTAAGATAAAAGGTTACTTTCATTTATCTGTAATTCTGAAGACTTGATCTCTTCATCGGAAAACAAAACGAAATTTGATCAATAAGACATACGAGTAGTTTTTGTATTTTAATATTAAAAACTAATGAGATGCATCATTAAAACTATACAAAATAACAAGTCTAAAACTAGAAATCATCAAGAAGATAGCATTTTTGTTTTTATTTTTAAAAGGTTCGTGAAATTTACTGCAATCACCCACGCCATCTATTGATAAATAGGGAAGTTTCAGTTCAAATAGCATTTTTCGTCGTCCTCCTTACATTTCTCTCAGTAATATACAGCATACAACATAATCATAATACAAATAATTGCCCATAAATAACTTTAAGAAAAAAATTAAATTAAAAACGTAAGCAAAAATGTTTTAGGGAAAAGTCAGGAATGTTGGTTCGGTAACAACTTTTATTTTGAGATATTTCTCTTAGATGGCTTTTAATTCCAAAACCTAAGGACAGGACTTGTGCTTGAACATCCAACATGGGTTCTAAATAAGACTTGTGCTTGAAAATCCTCCTTCACTACAAACAATTATTCTTGCATCATATAGGTCGCAGGTCAGTGGTTCTGTCAGCTATATTGCGACATTCAAATTTTCAGTGCCTTGGAAGCCGCCATCTTCTTTCAAATTTTGCAAATAGTTTATCATATAGCAATATATCTTCAGAGGAAATAACCACCCTTTTCAATAACAGGCATCGGTGTTAAATTATCAGAATAACAGAATTATTTTCAGTTCATTGTCGATGTAAAAACTTCAGTTTCAGAATGTAAGCCGAAGACAATCATTCTAGCTTCAATATGCCACTTCCTGGCAGTTTGTTTTGTGCGAATTTGAACAACGAATATCTCCTAACCAAGAAATATATGTTTTCAAAATTTTATTAATTGTGTCACCGTAGGGTTTTCAACTTCAAGAAAAAATTTTATCTGAATATTGTTTTTTGCGTCTTAATATGTTGTTTTTAATGTCTGATTTAAGGGTTTTTTTTTAATTCATATTAGTAGTCTGTCAGATATAGAATTATATATGTAGTGGTCCATGAAGTTCTAAGGGTTGACTACCGCTGATCAAAACGACTTTATAAATTCTCACGGGAGAGAATTCCCGTCGTTGCCAGGCTTGGGCACATGATTGAATGCAAGCGACTTGATATCCGACTTAATGACAGACTACATTTTAGTTTTGATCGTAAAAACGCCGGCAACGGAATCCGGGGGCCTCGAAACTTTTTTTCTCCTACCATCAACCTCTTTTACAAATATCAATGACTTTTTCAGGATTCGAATCCGTGCTCGATGAGATGGAAACGCCCTACTAACCACCATACCGAATAAAAATGCAAGCGAAGTGATGTTGATGAGAGAAATCATATAAAAACAGAAATGTTGCTTTCTCTTCAGATTAAATAATAATAATAATTTCAGTCTCTCTATTTCACTTTCTGAAGCAAAACAGTGAGTTTTTGCGGTCAGATTCGGTGTTGACTAAGAGTACTTAAATAATTTATCGCATCAATTAAATAGTAATTTTCCAACATTTCTATGAAATATGGGAAGATGCGCGTTTTCTCCTCTCAGGGGTAGACCAAATAACTACTGGACTGTATCTCTAGTAAAAGTCAGAAATGAAAAAAACTTACAGTAAATAATTCGTACAAACTTTTATGTCTAGTATATGTGTTCAAAATAAAATATCTTGAAGATAATGTTCACAATTGCACCAAATATTGGTAAAGATGCAATAAAATAAGACGATAAATCACAATCTGCATAGCTGAAATAAAATTACTTTTCTTTTCAGCATTTTACTTAAGCATAAAACTCAGAGCATAACCAAAACCTTTATATTTGCAGTTATATGATAATATTTATACGAAAAACCTTTGAAAACTGATTTAAAACATGAAATCTTTCAAATCTTTTTAAAGTTTATTTTTATATACGGTTTTTAACCTTTTTATTTGGAGTGTAAAAATTCATAAATTTACATGGACTAGTACACATATATGTAAGAGATAAATACGTAGATAATACACCAAGTTTTTAAAATTTAATTTATCGGCGAATTTCCTGTTTAACATTTCAGTGTCTGTATATTAAAATTAATATGCGCATTTTATTATCAATATTCAGAGCAATATCTTAAAGTATCCGTATGATTTAATGAGTAGATATGGCAAATGCTTAAATAAGTTGCGAAAGATTATGAGTATAACATTTAGGATTCTAATTTGTACATAAAATATTGGCGGGAACTACTACTCATAGCTATTGCTCGAAGAGGCAAATTTCCATTTTCTTAATTACACACGCACACACACACACACATTTATATATATATAAAGTTAAAACTTTTTTATTATGAAAAGAATATTCTGATAAATTAGGAGTACTTCTGAGCTTTGAACTTTTGCCTGGACAACAGAATTTCAGGAGAATTTCAGCAAAATGTTATTTAGCTCCAATTTCTTACACAAACACTTCGGTCATTTTATTTAGTTACAATTGTTATTTTAATTAAAGCTGCCTCCAAACTTGTCCTTAAATTTAACAATCAACTCTTAAATATTAGATTTAATGACTAGAGAGATGGGAATACTGAAATAACGGATTTAATGGCTCATAACGTCAAGTGATTCGTTGAATCTTCATTGACGCTGTCATTAAAAGCGCCTTCAATATAAGACTTACATTCGCATTTGGTGAAACTTATGTGACTCAGATTTATAAAAAGATGACTATTTTATTATTTTAAATGCTATTAGGGAATTTTGGCTGCTGGAATGACTGATGTCATGAATATGTTTTAATGCATTGGTTTGCCAGGTAATTTGAGAGTTTGAGCTTATACTTATGTTCTCACATGTTGCAGCCATAGCGTGTGATCCATAGCATCTTGAATATCTAATTAAATAGAGAGAGAACTGTGATTATTCATCTAAATAAAGAACGATTTTTTACTTAAAACTGTTCTGCCAGAATGACTGGTTTCAGTTGAGCTGTAGAGCTGTGATTATTCATCTAAATAAAGGATGATTTTTTATCTAAAACTGTTCTGCCAGAATTACTGGTTTCAGTTTAGCTGGACTTTCCCAGCCGACAAGAAAATACGTTAGCACCGAATCTTTTTAAATTATTTTTGTTATAGTTTGGTGGTTTTTCATGCATTTGGCACGAGTTGTATTTGAAAATACTCAAATGCTTTTCTAATAAAAAACTGAATGTAAAAATGCCAATCAGTTCCTTTTAAGTAATCTACTGAACTAATCATTGAGACAAATATACTGATATCTTAAATGTATTTTAGGAAAAGACTAGCATTTTACAATCTCTTAAGGAAAGGGCCCAGTATTGCTATGAAAAGTTTAATAGTGTTGAAGGTTTATCCTGCAATAAAGTAGTTGGAGCTATGTACGTATATCCAAAGATCGAGCTTTCAAGGAAAGCCTTAAAAGGAGCGCAGGTAAGAAATGTTCTTTTAATGTTAGGAATCACTAAAATTCACATTAACTGAGAATCACATCGAAGTTCTAAAGTTGTTTACGCAAATCAAGAACACTAGGTGTTATGTAAGGGAGGCTTTCGTGGAGGTCTTTCTAAGCAAAACTGACCCATATTCACGTTACACATGGGAAAATCACGATAAATTCTAAGCCATCGGCCCATTCGATAGAATTTAAACTCATATCGAACCAGTGATCAGCAGTTTTATTTGCTCCGTCACATACATAAAGAGATAAAATAAAATTTTATCATTAAACACACAAATTACTTTTACAAGCAACTGACAACAATGAAAATTTAATGGCAAATATAAAAAATATAGTAAATGTAACGGAGTTTTATTTATACGACTCTCTCCGGATCGTTATCAACCCATGTATTAAAAGAATTTGATTCTAAAAATTTCGTTAGAGGGCAGTACTTAATGTTTAAATGATACATTAGCTTGAGACAATTTTCAGATTTGAAGTAATACAGCTTATAGTCGTCAGAACGGTCCTTAGCATTGCCTTCCCCAACCAAAAAAAAAAAAAAAAAAAAAAAAAAAAAAAAAAAAAAAAAATCACGCTGTACAAAGAAGAGTGGTCGTTATAACGAAAGAAGATGCGATATGTTTCTCATCAGGTGGCGATTTTTTTCACCTTTCATCGCAAGAGAATGATTGTTATAATGAGCAGTTGCGATGACTGCATTTAATTCAAAGCGGTTTGTTTTAATGTTTTACTTCCCCCCCTCTCTTTCATTATATTTACGAAACATCTACTGAAGTAGAAGCATCCAATATCTAGACTAATGGAAATAATTTCAAAAACATTAAAAACAGCTTTTAAAACTTTCACTGAAAATAAGAAAGAAGGTAATCACTGGGGTTG